AGACGAAATTTTCCTTTAACGTCAAACGACACTACCCTCTGTCAACCATTTTCCTTTAACTTTAAACACTCCTCACTAAAGCAATCGACCCTCCCTTCTCACATCAATCGCCTCCTCCTTCTCTAACATCAACCGACCCTCCCTTCTCACATCAATCGCCTCCACCTTCTCTAACATCAATCGACCCTCCCTTCTCACATCAATCGCCTCCACCTTCTCTAACATCAACCGACCCTCCCTTCTCACATCAATCGCCTCCACCTTCTCTAACATCAATCGACCCTCCTCTCCAATGTCATTCATCCCTCCTCTCTAATGCCAATCAACCCTTCTCTCTAATGTCAATCGACTCTTCTCTCTAATGCCAATCAACCCTTCTCTCTAATGTCAATCATCCCTCCTCTCTAATGTCAATCATCCCTTCTCTCTAATGACAATCATCCCTCCTCTCTAATGTCAATCATCCCTTCTCTCTAATGTCAATCGACCCTTCTCTCTAATGTCAATCGACCCTTCTCTCTAATGTCAATCGACCCTCCTCTCTAATGTCAATCATCCCTTCTCTCTAATGTCAATCGACCCTCCTCTCTAATGTCAATCTCTAATGTCAATCATCCCTTCTCTCTAATGTCAATCAACCCTCCTCTCTAATGTCAATCAACAACCCTTCTCTCTAATGTCAATCGACCCTTCTCTCTAATGTCAATCATCCCTTGTCAATCATCCCTTCTCTCTAATGTCTATAAACCCTTCTCTCTAATGTCAATCAACCCTTCTCTCTAATGTCAATCATCCCTTCTCTCTCTCTAATGTCAATCATCCCTCTCTAATGACATCATCCCTCTCTCTAATGTCAATCATCCCTCTAATGTCTCTCTAATGGCAATCGACCCTTCTCTCTAATGTCAATCGACCCTCCTCTCTAATGTCAATCGACCCTCCTACCTAATGTCAATCATCCCTCCTCTCTAATGTCAATCAACCCTTCTCTCTAATGTCAATCGACCCTCCTCTCTAATGTCAATCAACCCTTCTCTCTAATGTCAATCAACCCTTCTCTCTAATGTCAATCGACCCTTCTCTCTAATGTCAATCAACCCTTCTCTCTAATGCATCCCTTCTCTCTAATGTCAATCGACCCTCCTCTCTAATGTCAATCATCCCTTCTCTCTAATGTCAATCAACCCTTCTCTCTAATGTCAATCGACCCTCCTCTCTAATGTCAATCAACTCTTCTCTCTAATGTCAATCATCCCTTCTCTCTAATGTCAATCGACTCTTCTCTCTAATGGCAATCGACCCTTCTCTCTAACGATCCTCCTCTCTAATGTCAATTCTCTCTAATCAACCCTTCTCTCTAATGTCAATCAACCCTTCTCTCTAATGTCAATCATCCCTTCTCTCTAATGTCAATCAACCCTTCTCTCTAATGGCAATCATCCCTCCTCTCTAATGTCAATCAACCCTTCTCTCTAATGTCAATCATCCCTCCTCTCTAATGTCAATCAACTCTTCTCTCTAATGTCAATCATCCCTCCTCTCTAATGTCAATCAACTCTTCTCTCTAATGTCTATAAACCCTTCTCTCTAATGTCAATCAACCCTTCTCTCTAATGTCAATCATCCCTTCTCTCTAATGTCTATAAACCCTTCTCTCTAATGTCAATCAACCCTTCTCTCTAATGTCAATCAACCCTTCTCTCTAATGTCAATCAACCCTTCTCTCTAATGTCAATCAACTCTTCTCTCTAATGTCAATCAACCCTTCTCTCTAATGTCAATCATCCCTTCTCTCTAATGTCAATCAACCCTTCTCTCTAATGTCAATCAACCCTTCTCTCTAATGTCAATCAACCCTTCTCTCTAATGTCTCTCTAATGTCAATCAACCCTCCTCTCTAATGTCAATCATCCCTTCTCTCTAATGTCTATCGACCCTCCTCTCTAATGTCAATCGACCCTTCTCTCTAATGTCAATCAACCCTTCTCTCTAATGTCAATCAACCCTTCTCTCTAATGTCAATTGGTTGTAATGTCAATATAATCCCTTCTCTCTAATGTCAATCAATGTCAATCACACTTCTCTCTCAACTTTCTCTAATATACCCTTCTCTCTAATTCAATCAACCCTCTCTAATGTCCACATTGCTCGACTTCAAACTACATCACTATATCTGATGACGTAAGCGTGTTTCCACAAGATCTGTAAATGATTTATATCGTCACCAGACACATAGCATTATTACTTGTAATTAAGTAATTGGTGACATACAATAACAAAGAAACCAATAACGATAATTGAAACAGAATTTTTAATTGAAAGTAGCTTGATTAAAACACATAAAACGGGAGTCATGAAACACTTATTGAAGGGATGAGTAACAATAAAAATGGACTCGCCACCTGAACCACTGAACGTTCACTGGTAATGACAGCAGATAGATATTTTGTTGATCGGGAGAAACAAAGTGAAATAAAAAAAAACTCTCTTTTTAAAAATCTATTATGGGTTATTTGACTTTATATACAATACAATTAATTGCCGCTATCGTTATAAAAACCTCTGACTGGGTCCTTGGAGAGTCACTCTACCATCATATTCTGCTTGGAAAATGAGTTCTTTCATGAATCAACTGGAGAAAAAACACTTTTTATTTTCTTGCCATTAAATCGTTTTCCGCAGTGCCATCATACAGGTGCTGGTCATGGTGATTCCCTCTAGTCTGATAACCCGTACACAAAATTAAGATATAGTGGCCTGTTAAAGCTTCCCACAATATAATCACTTTTTAAATTAGTGCAGTGTCCCCCAGGGACCATCAATACCATATAAGGGCATCTATTTAAACACAGGACACAGTAAACATTCAATAACTACCGTCCAATGAAACAGACTATCACATAAACGAAGAAAGCGCATGTACAGATTTTTTTTATTGGCAAGCCTGAGACACGAATTTGAAAATGTTGTGTCCTGATGCATTAGAAGGCTATAGGCATGTGCATTCACAAGTATTATCAGGAACAGACGAGAATATGTGAACTTCCCGTGGTATTATATGGACAAAGACAATATGTGTACTTCCCGTGGTATTATAGGGACAAAGACAATATGTGTACTTCCCGTGGTATTATAGGGACAAAGACAATATGTGTACTTCTCGTGGTATTATAGGGACAAAGACAATATGTGTACTTTCTGTGGTATTATAGGGACAAAGACAATATGTGTACTTCCCGTGGTATTATAGGGACAAAGACAATATGTGTACTTCCCGTGGTATTATAGGGACAAAGACAATATGTGTACTTCCCGTGGTATTATAGGGACAAAGACAATATGTGTACTTCCCGTGGTATTATAGGGACAAAGACTATATGTGTACTTCTCATAGTATTATAGGGACAAATACAATATGTGTACTCTACATGGTTTTAAAGGGACAAAGACAATATGTGTACTTCCGGTAGTATTATAAGGACAAAGACAATATGTGTACTTCCCATAGTATTATAAGGACAAAAACAATATGTTTACTTCCTATGGTATTATACGGACAAAGACAATATGTGTACTTCCCATAGAAGTAAAACACTTACTGGCTATAATTAAGTATTACATCACTGGCAAGTATTTATTCCTATTAATCAAACAAGACCTTGCTTAATCTTTCTTTTAGGGGCATTCATTTTTTTTAACACTTTCAATTTGAAAAAAGGTAATTTGTCAAAAAAAACCACCTTCAACATTGAAACCGATTACATAGTAAATGAAACTTCTACATAATAATACTACATTGTAATATGTCTGAATATGAAATAAAGGTCAGGTAGGGACAAGATACAGCTGGAACCAATGAAAATATAACACAGTAAGTAGGCCACATTAGCCTGTACAATATACAGGTATACCTTCAATCATAAGTATAAAACATGATATATATATCTATATACATAATACATTCAATATATTGATTGTTCTAAATATTAAAAGTATGAATTGTTGTCATGTATGTCATAGTAATGACTTCCTTTCACTAAATTATAAATCACACAACAATACTTGATCATTTTGCCTTCAATTTCATCCTATCTTTGGCAAGAATTGATAAAAAACAACTGTAGAAGAGTGAAACATATATTGGTCAACAACTAGAAAAATACAACTGAATTAACAGAGATATATCACAGTTTGTATAATAAATTGGTGATACATGGAGCTCTATGGTTAAAGATTTCATCATTAAACATATAGAAATTGCTGTCCATACCTGTATGTCACAATTACAGGGCAGTGCTGCATGTAAGGCACTAAACCCCGAGGATAGCTCTACTGGCTTCTGCCACACCTGGGGTATATAATCTGAGAACAGTTCTAACAACTGCCACAGGCATAAATATTCTGAGGGCCACTCTACCAGTTACTGCCACTACTGGGGTATATACTCTGAGGGCTGCACTACTGGTTACTGCCACTACTGGAGTATATATTCTGAGGGCCACTCTACTAACTACTGCCACTACTGGAGTATATACTCTGAGGGCTACTCTACCGGTTACTGCCTCTACTGGAGTATATACTCCGAGGGCTACTCTACTGACTACTGCCTCTACTGAAGTATATACTCTGAGGGCTACTCTACCGGTTACTGCCTCTACTGGAGTATATACTCTGAGGGCTACTATACCGGTTAGTAGCCCCTACTGGAGTATATACTCTGAGGGCTGCTGACTACTGCCACTACAGGGGTATATACTCTGAGGGCTACTCTACCGGTTACTGCCTCTACTGGGGTATATACTCTGAGGGCTACTCTACTGACTACTGCCACTACAGGGGTATATGCTCTTAGAGCAACAAATGCTATATAAAAACTTCAGATCACTGGACAACTTTAGCACTCTGATTGACAACCATCTGTGACACTGATATGGAACCTTGATTTATAATCTGTAGGTTTTTGTGTACTTTTAAATGCCAGCACTTCTGTTTGTTGAAGTCTATTTCAATTTCTTCACGCGGAGAAGCTGTATGTAGGAGAAAAAGAGTAATATGAATGCTATACAGAACAAGGCTACATGGTTCTGCCACAAATCCCAGGTTGTCTCGTAGGGAATGCCCTGTCGCTCCAACTCCTCAATCCCATTGCCACTAAAACATGTAACGAGGTCAGACATATTTATATTTGGTACAGCACGAAAGTTTACACTTTTATCTAACATTAAAATACAAGATATAATTAATGACCCCTACAGATGTTTCTACAAGAAAATACATCATTCATTTATCATTCTTAAAATCATGTGGCAGTGACCAAACAAAAAGTGGAAAAATGGAAAAAGGTGTTCTGGCTTTAATGATGGGTTTTAATTAGTAGTATGTAGAATGATTTCACTGATTTAATGACAAATGATTGGTTTTAATTAGTAGTATGTAGAATGATTTCACTGATTTAATGACAAATAATGGGTTTTAATTAGTTGTATGTAGAATGATTTCACTGATTTAATGACAAATAATGGGTTTTAATTAGTTGTATGTAGAATGATTTCACTGATTTAATGACAAATAATGGGTTTTAATTAGTAGTATGTAGAATGATTTCACTGATTTAATGACAAATAATGGGTTTTAATTAGTAGTATGTAGAATGATTTCACTGATTTAATGACAAATAATGGGTTTTAATTAGTAGTATGTAGAATGATTTCACTGATTTAATGACAAATAATGGGTTTTAATTAGTAGTATGTAGAATGATTTCACTGATTTAATGACAAATAATGGGTTTTAATTAGTAGTATGTAGAATGATTTCACTGATTTAATGACAAATAATGGGTTTTAATTAGTAGTATGTAGAATGATTTCACTGATTTAATGACAAATAATGGGTTTTAATTAGTAGTATGTAGAATGATTTCACTGATTTAATGACAAATAATGGGTTTTAATTAGTAGTATGTAGAATGATTTCACTGATTTAATGACAAATAATGGGTTTTAATTAGTAGTATGTAGAATGATTTCACTGATTTAATGACAAATAATGGGTTTTAATTAGTAGTATGTAGAATGATTTCACTGATTTAATGACAAATAATGGGTTTTAATTAGTAGTATGTAGAATGATTTCACTGATTTAATGACAAATAATGGGTTTTAATTAGTTGTATGTAGAATGATTTCACTGATTTAATGACAAATAATGGGTTTTAATTAGTAGTATGTAGAATGATTTCACTGATTTAATGACAAATAATGGGTTTTAATTAGTAGTATGTAGAATGATTTCACTGATTTAATGACAAATAATGGGTTTTAATTAGTAGTATGTAGAATGATTTCACTGATTTAATGACAAATAATGGGTTTTAATTAGTTGTATGTAGAATGATTTCACTGATTTAATGACAAATAATGGGTTTTAATTAGTAGTATGTAGAATGATTTCACTGATTTAATGACAAATAATGGGTTTTAATTAGTAGTATGTAGAATGATTTCACTGATTTAATGACAAATAATGGGTTTTAATTAGTTGTATGTAGAATGATTTCACTGATTTAATGACAAATAATGGGTTTTAATTAGTAGTATGTAGAATGATTTCACTGATTTAATGACAAATAATGGGTTTTAATTAGTAGTATGTAGAATGATTTCACTGATTTAATGACAAATAATGGGTTTTAATTAGTAGTATGTAGAATGATTTCACTGATTTAATGACAAATGATTGGTTTTAATTAGTAGTATGTAGAATGAAATCACTGATAGTCCTTGAAAAGTCCTTGAAAAGTATTAAGAAGTTAATGTGGGACATTATAAATAAAATTTACTGATTTTACAACAAGTTATGTCAACCTATACTGATCACTCTTGTTGGCCCGGATGTAAGCGCGCGAGGGGTCTTATTGTGGGAGGAAACCGGAGAACCCGTGAAAACCCACGTGGTCAGGCAGGTGACCCCTTACCGTTTCACATCCGTTCCGGGAATCGAACCCCGGTCGGCTAGGTGAAAGGCGAGTATGTTACCACTGCACCACCCGACCATTTTACATTGATCATGTAAAGTGTTGCCAACAGTAAGCTGGCCCATTATACATATATATTGTACATTGTTTAACATTTCCATGCAAAGCTGTATTCCCAAATATGACTACCGATAGACATTCCATATTAAGACGGATCAATGCTTTATATCTGTACATTAATATATTGTATGTCTAATGTGTACAGTATAACAACACATTATATCATCTGGTTTGTTAAGTAAAGACACAGGATTAACCAAGTCTCTGATGTAACACAAGGCAGTGTTAGGAATTCTGCATCATCTACATTGTCTTGGGATTGCACAAAAGTTGGCTTAGGTAAGAAATTGTTGACATTTCCAACACTCCTCATCAACAGTTTACGACCCACATCATTTTGTCAAGACTCTCTTACACACAGCTTAAGTACTTTAAAGTCTAATTCTGGGTTTAATAATACATTTAAGTCTATAAAAGTGTTCAAATCCACTTATAGACAAGACGTACATTGCCAAGATGACACAAGATTAATCCACAAGGACTCATAAAGGTTTCACAGTCCAAGAAAGATAACTCTTGTAACAAATTAATTTGAAAATTAACTATAAACCTCGGAACTTACTGTACATAGATAGGAATTTTATCTTAATAATTCATTAATTAAAAATTACCGATAAATGTATCAATGATTGGTTGCTTACTAGACTTCAGTGCATTTAGTTTCTTTACCCTATAACACACTTCTTTTATAACTTACCAAATTATTCCTGTTGTTTTGTTATAAAGGTTCAAATCTTTTAATTCATTCACCAATAAGGCCTGCAAATAAAGTTAGATTTAGATATCATAGAAAAATATCAAAATTCTTTAAACTGTTATTATGTACAGAAACACATGGTTGTTCTCTTGATAAATAAACACTAACTTATTGTTATTCAGGATGATACAATACACATATGAAGAGAAAATGGTTTTACACAGCTATAAATCCCTTTGTTTGCATACATTTCAACAGGAACAGAGTTGTGTGATTGTAAGAAATTCCAACTTTCTGTTGAATATATTGTAAACAGGAAAATGCTGTTGAGGATATTTTATTGATTTTGTAGGTGCTCTAAATGAATTCATATGTACACAAACCATTCGTATCTACACAAACCACTAAAATAAGTAGAAGTAGATCTATAGAGCTATATTTATCTACGAAATTAATAGTCTAAGAGAACATATATTTTCGAAAACCCACCAAAATTTCAACACTATGAAAATACATGACCTTACAGTATATATAACCTACATTTAATCCGTATCTGAAGACACTAAACCACTTGATCCATTCCAGCCAGTCTGCAATGGAGTCCAGGTTCACCAGTAGTCCTCCAAACACCTGAAGTTTACATACATTAAGTCAATCACTTATGTTAGGCCTTGTTTCACAGAGCAAAATAACAGGTGAAATTGAAAAAGAGATGAAATTATGAATATTTTCATAAATTAATTTCCAAAATAAAGCTTGCACAGGTAGCTGCAAAATTTTGGTAGCAAATATATGTTAAAATCAGGAAAACCACACATATTTACACTGATTACCTCCAGTTTTATTCTGTTCCTATCAATTGTAATGATTCTAGCACAGTCTCATACACATCTATACAAAACATCGATGATTAACAATTCAACTTACCATCATGAAAACATAACAAAGAGCAATACAGAGATTAGCCACGGCAAATATCCTCACAGAAGCGCTGAAGAAGAAGGCGAAGCCTGAGGCGGAGAGGGTGACGAGGAACAAGCTGAGGAGGTAAACGAAGAACTTCCCAACATCTACCTCTAGGCCTGGTAAATTAGATAATCATATTAAATACAGGGTCTTACCTGTACCTGGCTACATCTCAGATTACCTGGAGATGTACATAAAATTCTATCAATCTGTGACAACCTGGAGATGTACATCAAACTCTATTAATATGGGTCAACCTGAAGAGGTACATCAAACTTCATCAGTCTGGGATACCTTGAAAAGGTATGTCGAACTCTGTTGATCAGTAGGCAAGGTATATTACTTTTAAGTGTATATACTGATTGGGACATGATGTCAGTCTGTGAATCCAGTTTATGTAGCCCCGTCTTAACATTTGTATACTTAAAAGTTTTAATGAGCCTGTAATTCTGTGACAGTATGGAGATCCACATTAGTATGGATCTTACCTATCATGAAGTATGTGATCGCAGCAAATATTGACACAGGTATCAGCCTCATCGGAACCACATCACAGAAGATCTTGGAGCAGAAATAGGAAGATACCCTATAGAATCCACTCACGTTCTCGTGTCTGTAAAATTATAGCAGTTTCTCTCAATCTGATTTCCTACTTATAGAACTGTATGCTTTAGTTTTCAAAAAGATATTTAAATTAAAACAACAACAAAAAAAATAAACAAAAATGAACAAAAGGTGATAGATACATAAAAAAAAGAACATAACTTACAAGAAAATCGCTCTTTCCTTGATGAAGAGTTCCACAGCTGAAAGGTTTCCAAACACCTGGTTCATCACAACGAAGAAGAACACGCCCACTCTGTAACAGAAAAACATATTACCTGGGGTTACCTCTTTAGTGAGAACATTCAACAGGAATGGCATACAATACATCCTACAGAATTTGTTCCTAAAACAGACATCAGAAAACATGTGTTTCCTAGTACAGGATAAGACTTACTACAGGACAGTTATATCACATTTGTTGGCACTTACACTGAAACTACTATGTGTGGTTATTACTGGGCATAGTTTTACACTCAGATAATAACTAATATATTATTTTATTTTGAAATCTCAACTTATATCAACCTGAGACCCACATGTTACCCCTACAGTCAGGTAAGGAGGAAAAAAAACCACCTCAGATCTTCACCTCAGATTGCAATATGCTTGACTGATTGACCTTACAGGCAGTTCCCTGTGACAGGTAATACAGACATTACAGCTAACTGGAACAGTGCAGGTATTAACAACATTACAGTTAAAACAGGCAGTACAAGTAACACAGACATTACAGTTAAAACAGGCATTACAAGTAACACAGACATAACAGGTATTACAGACATTACAGGTAACACAGACATTACAGCTAACTGGAACAGTGCAGGAATTAAAGACATTACAGTTAACACAGGCTTTACAAGTAACACAGACATTACAGGTTATACAGGCATTCTAGGTAACACAGACATTACAGGTAATAAAAACATTCTAGGTAATACAGACATTCCCATAAAACAGGCATTACAAGTAACACAGACAGGTAACACAGACATTACAGGTAACACAGACATTACAGGTAACACAGACATTACAGGTAACACAGACATTACATGTAATTAAGACATTCTAGGTAATACAGACAATACAGGTATTACAGACATTACAGGTAACACAGACATTACAGGTATTACAGACATTACAGGTAACACAGACATAAGAAGTAACACAGACATTCTAGGTAATACAGATATAACAGGTAACACAGACATAAGAAGTAACACAGACATTCTAGGTAATACAGATATTGCAAGTAACACAGACATTACAGGTATTACAGACATTACAGGTAACACAGACATTACAGGTAACACAGACATTACAGGTAACACAGACATTACAGGTAACACAGACATAAGAATACAGATATTGCAAGTAACACAGACATCCTAGGTAATACAGATATAACAGGTAACACAGACATTAGAAGTAACACAGACATTCTAGGTAATACAGATATAACAGGTAACACAGACATTAGAAGTAACACAGACATTACAGGTAACACAGACATTACAGGTATTACAGACATTACAAGTATTACACAGACATTACAGGTATTACAGACATTACAAGTAACACAGACATTACAGGTAACACAGACATTACAGGTTACACAGACATCACATGTAACACCGGCATTACAAGTAACACAGACAGTACATGTAACACAGACATTACATGTAACACAGGCATTACAAGTAACACAGGCATTACAGGTTACAAAGACATTCCAGGTAATAGAGACATTACATGTAACACAGACATTACAGGTAACAGGCATTACAGGTAACACAGACATTACAAGTAACAGGCATTACAGGTTACACAGACATTACAGGTAACACAGACATTACAGGTAACAGGCATTACAGGTAATACAGACATTACAGGTAACACAGACATTACAGGTAACAGGCATTACAGGTAACACAGACATTACAGGTAACACAGACATTACAGGTAAAAGGCATTACAGGTAATACAGACATTCTAGGTAATACTGATATAACAGGTAATACAGAAATTACATGTAACATAGTAGGTACAGTACACATGTTATAGGTGTAACAAAAGCTACAGATATATAAGATAAAGATTTACCGATTCTGGATACCAGAAGTACAGTCATCATCAACATCCCAGTAGATAGCACCAACAATGACTCCAAACACCACCATCACCATTACCTGTACAAAGACTGGGGCTTTACATATTGTTCATTTCCAATAACAATACAAAAAATAACACTGTCGTATTATAATAAAAAAATTTGATATCAAGGAATATTTCGAATTCACAAATTGGAAATATATTTTCACATTTAAGACAAGTTTTAAAACTTCTAGCATCATCCTTGAGGTTTTACTAGTCCTTGAGCCTATGATTTATAGTTGCCATAGAAACAACAGGATTCTTTTATACACTCAGAATCCTGATGTAGGATTCACCAATATCATACCTGCATTATCGAAGTTTGGGGATTTCTGATCAAATTCTTCATAGTTCTCCGAGATACCACAGCAAACTGTTGAAGGAGAAATTTGTAATTGCTAAATCATTATATCCCAATAGGCATATAGGGACTGTTACATTCAAACTTTTGAATATATTCCAAGTAAAAATCAATAATGAGGAAAAAAAACAGATTAATGAAATCCTTTAAAGTTAATAGCTAACTCCTTCATTGTCCTTATGATATACCAGGTAATACAGTGAAGGTAACACTGCCTTTTTCTTACTAGGGAGATCTGGAGCATTTGAAATTTCATGCATAAGAAAAGTACAAATATTTGTCTTTTTGTCTTCTTCTGACTAAAAAATGCTATGAGATAGTATATTAGCAAGATTATTAAATGAATAGAGTTAATTTTGCAAATGTTGAATAATAATGAGAACAAGAGATCCCAGAGGGATCTTGATGCCCACCATTGTTTGATATTTAAAAACTGGATCATTTCCCTTCTTCTTGCTCCTTTCCTACATTTTTGCCATAAAATTTACAAAATATAAAAATTCCTCTTAAGAAAGAGCAATAATAGGTAATCTTTAGCTGCCATATCCAAGATGGCTGCCTGTTAGTCATTTTGTTTTCCTGATTGCTCTACATATACTTACTTGTGTTAAGGAGGTGGCATACTCCACTCTACATATACTTACCTGTGTTAAGGAGGTGGCATACTCCACTCTACATATACTTACCTGTGTTAAGAAGGTAGCATACTCCACTCTACATATACTTACCTGTGTTAAGAAGGTAGCATACTCCACTCTACATATACTTACCTGTGTTAAGGAGGAGGTGGCATACTCCACTCTACATATACTTACCTGTGTTAAGTAGGAGGTGGCATACTCCACTCTACATATACTTACCTGTGTTAAGTAGGAGGTGGCATACTCCACTCTACATATACTTACCTGTGTAAAGAAGGAGGTAGCATACTCCACTCTACATATACTTATCTGTGTAAAGAAGGAGGTGGCATACTCCACTCTACATATACTTACCTGTGTAAAGAAGGAGGTGGCATACTCCACTCTACATATACTTACCTGTGTAAAGAAGGAGGTGGCATACTCCACTCTACATATACTTACCTGTGTAAAGAAGGAGGTGGCATACTCCACTCGAGGCATTCTGACAACTGTGCCTGTTGCCTTTCTTTCCATGTAAGACTTTTGAATTGGCTGTACAGATGACTGGAGGCTACAATAAGCATTGTCACAGTAATGTATAAAACACAGGGATATTGTCAGTCACCGTAAAGCCTAAAAAAACTTTGTGCCACATTTTAAACAAAAATAAGGTGAAATCTGGTACTTTCTTTTTGAATCAAATTACATTACAATTCATTTTCCTCTAAATCTTCAACAAAGGTGGGGTATCAAAATGGGCCTAAGAACAAATACAAAAGCTCTGATGTGCCATTGGTAGTCTCTGTAGTTGTGTGTTTATAAATAGGCATTTAAGTTAAAACATGTACATACAAAAAAATATAGAGCCCCTTTTTTGCCAAAAAATGAAAAAAAATGTATGTTTTTTGGGCAAAAAGCTACAATATCTTATATGCAGAGCAAGAAGTCAATACAATGGGAACAGGAGATAAAAATGTGATGGAATTGGAGAAAGAACATGCTCTTTTTACAGTAAGTGAAATTTTCTGGAGGTAAAAAGTACAACTTCTATTGTAGTTACTGGAGTAATTAGGTGCTAAAAGTATCTTTAAACAGTTTGAAATATATTGACCATAAAAAAGTAGTTAGGAGTTTTGTGCAAAGTCATTAAAATTGATCGACAATGTTGCTATAATTATTTTAAGGAAATACAATAAAAGTGGAAAATCTCTTTTGGATTTAAGTCTTGTAAAGTGAACTGTAATAAAATGTTTACACTTGGTTTTATTAGTACAAAGTGACTGTCACCTACACTTATAACCCACAAAAGTGTAATTTCAACTTTTTAAATGGCCGTCATGTTCCCTGATAACTACAAAAATTCAATTTTTTTACAAATGCTTAATCAATAATCTAACAAGAATACTAAATAATGGATTTAAGTTGGTTTACGTATCAAACCATCTAATCTAGACTCCAATAAGTCTTCTTCCTCCTAGAATCAGATTTGCCATGTCAGTGTTGGGTCTCCATTATACAGTAATGCAGTTCTAATTGTCCAAGTCTACCATACCTAATGCCTTGAAGATGGCAGATGGTAGCGAAATCTACATCACTTGTGGTTTGTCTTAAATCTTTTGAGTTTCAGATGCAAAAGCTTACTGGTTTCCAAATGCATGTAGTATTATAAATAGTACAGGGTATTGGCTATGTGGGAGCATACTCCCATGGTTCTCTGTCCAGTAGGACACTGGCAATAATAATCTTTTATCAGATTTATGACATTGTGCTCTACACTGTTCTTTTGCCTTGAGTGGATCTGACATTGTACAATGTCTCGTGAGTGCCAATAAATCCCGACCTTCTAGTCACCATCGCCACTGAGGTGCTCTCTTATGTATCCAGCTCCCAGTGATATTTGGTTTGTGCCACTGAATATTGTGCGAAGGTATTCCATGTCTAACTTTGGAAAGTCACAATTATCTGTAGTAGAATCTAGTTTGACAAATAGTGCCCTTTTGGTAAGATCTCACTCATTTTTTCACATGCTGGGCTAAACTGTGAAAATTGAGGCACGCTTTCATTTTGGCAGCCAGTGCCAAATCTCGCCCTTGTGTTCTAAGATATATGAGTCCTTGAATTCCATTGAGACAGGCTGCCACTATACTAACGATATTGGGGTATATAGATTATATAATATGTTGTTGGAAGATTTGTATAGTATGATCGCTAATGTCCTAATTATAATTTAGAGACATAGTCATTCAAGGACATGTCGGCATTACTTGTAAGCATGCTAGGGGTTGTTGTATATTTTAGGAAAGGCATCTGTTTGCATGAAGGTTTTGAGTGTAACAGGGAGGTCCCTTTATATCCTCTATTGTTCCACAAGTCATTGGAGAGATACAAATCGAAGCCAAAATCAACACTTTGCACGAATGGTGAAGTTTTGACTTTTGAGCAGAATTAGGGTAAGAGAGAAAGTTATCTTTATGTTAAATAATTTTAAATGAACTGAATATGGAAGACATTCTAAATATCATTTGTTCACAAAAATTTGATTTCCTCACAAAATGCTTAAAAAATCAATAATATTGGCAGTATACTTACTGTTTTAGTATTTTGGTATTTAGTTTATGGTTCAAACTTTCTTATTTTGTTAAAATAATTAATTGTCTTTTATCTGTTTTGTGACAATCGGCATTCAAAGTTTAGTAATTTACTTACGTAATTGGTTAATTAGGCAAGTGTTTCATCAATTAATTTGGATTAAATGTAAAGGCAAGGGAACCAACTTTGATGATGCAAAGCAATATATTGGTGAGGGGTTTTGTAGAGGGAAAAAATCTTTAGGCTGACGTCTATGGGAAATTAGCATTGCTGGAAAACCCATTTTTGAATTTTTATAGATAGGTTTGTTTAAGACCCTCTAAGTACTTTAGATGACAAAATACTTTATTCTACTTTTATTGAACTAGTAAACAAGGAGGTTATCTTATTAAAGTATTTTTACTTGGTGACAAACTTAAGAAAATGTTTGAACACAACTAATAGATGAAGCACAACCAGAAATAGGTTGCCCTAGCACTCTGTATGACGTGACCTACAATGGTATAACACAATTTTTTGGAAGTAAATTGTAATGAAAGGACAGAAGATCATGATAGGATACAGATAGAAGGATCATATATCAGAATAAACTAAAACTCTCAATTCTAGAACATATCATACCTTTGGTACCAGCGTGATTTCTTGTAGCCTTCTATCAGCTTTTCATGTGTACTTGCATTCCCTGAAAATACCACTCTTATGTAAACCTTCTGATTGATAAATACAAAGAAATGCCTTCATGATCAATTAGTGACTTGACCCGATATTTAAGATAACGTGAAGGCTTTTTTCATAAATCAAATAATATTCCCAAGTGGTCCAAGAATTTCGGAGGTTGAAAGAATGTAAATTATTGTCAATGTTATATCTACACTTACTCATTATTATAGTGTTCGATTGTCATAAACAGATGCACTGATATCATGAAAACATGATCTTTATCAGTTTTCTATAGTTAAATTAACATATACTGGGAAAAAAATTATATGAGAGGTATTGTGATAGAGAATTAAAGACAGATGTATTTTGTTTGTTGAGTTTTATTTAAACAGTCAAGATCCAAAGACAGAAATTTCATACCTGTGCCTGTTTCAGGATCTGTTCTCAGCATCAGAAGTAAATAAAACAGTAAAAAGGCCATGAATAACTATATATATCTATGTATATGTAAATATATCAGTATAAACAGAATCTAGCGTGATGTAATAAGTTGTCCTAGTAATGGTATACAGTAAAGATATAACTACAATATAAACTGAATTCTTTGTAATACACAAAGGCTACCTCACCACTATCAAGCATGCTAGAAGAAATAAGGTTAAAGGGATATAGTAAGTCATCTGATGGCATGCACCACATGGCTGCCCAGAATAAAACCAACACCTCAGAAACTACAACATAGTTTATCTACCCAGACCCATCAGACAGTTCACTGAAACTCTCCTAGGTCTCATCACTATCAGTATTAATGTATGGTACAACACCTCAGAGGATACAACATAATTTATCTACTGGTCAGAACTGGTCCATCAGTTCACTGTATACAGCTGAAACTCTCCTAGGTCTCATCACTATCAGTATTAACGTGTGTTACTACTGTCAAAATGATTAAACTGAACATTTAATATGTAATTCTTTAATTTTGTATCATAAAAATAGAAACTAAACCATATATAATAGGATAGTTTACCTTTACCTCTAGAACAAAGTACAAAATGATAGCTTACCTTTGCCTCTAGAACAAAGTACAAAATGATAGCTTACCTTTGCCTCTAGAACAAAGTACAAAATGATAGCTTACCTTTGCCTCTAGAACAAAGTACAAAATGATAGCTTACCTTTGCCATTAGATGAGTTAATCAAACTGAGTTGATCTGTAACAATACAATAGAGAGGAGTATTAGATACTGGAGAACATAAAAAAATACTATTTAAGAAATGAAAAATTATTGAATCATGTTTATAAAATCACCATCACCCAAGTCGATATATTTCATAATTCAAGAAAACACTATCTTTAAATAAAGGACCCTCTATATCAGTGATGTTTTTAAACTGGTTCAGGAGTTGTTGACATTGCTTCAGCTGATTAGGGGAGTCATCTTCAGGACTTTATCAGACCAAAGATGTAAAAATGGTGTCTAATATAGTTACCGTTGTCAGGTTAACGTTTTCATGTCACATAACATAGTGATGTCACCGATTATTAAGTAGTGCATCCTTCTTTTAATGTGTAAAAGGCAGGTACACTAGAGAATTTTTTCATATTTTAGATATCATTTACTTCACAATTTACAAAGATTAATGCAGACAGAAACTTATAGACTATATACATACATTGAGAGAGAAAGATACTAAAAAGGCATACATCGAGACAGAAATATACTAAAAAGGCATACACGGAGAGAGAAAGATACTAAAAAGGCATACATTGAGAGAGAAAGATACTAAAAAGGCATACATTGAGAGAGAAAGATACTAAAAAGGCATACATTGAGAGAGAAAGATACTAAAAAGGCATACATTGAGAGAGAAAGATACTAAAAAGGCATACATTGAGAGAGAAAGATACTAAAAAGGCATACATTGAGAGAGAAAGATACTAAAAAGGCATACATCGAGACAGAAATATACTAAAAATGCATACATCAAGTGAGAAAAAAACTAAAAAGGCAATGACAAAAATACACTGGTATCAGATCCTGTTAATCTGCCCTATGCTGATCTAATATTGTAATGTATTATGACTATGTAAGACAGCTTATCAAAAATATATTTTTATGATAACCCATCAATAGATCTATGTTTTTCTATGACTTTGTTGATATAATAAACCACTTCCACAGTGATGACAACAACAAAGAACTTTCTTATTAGTTTATTATCTCCCTGTAAACAATCTGAGCCATTTTGAGCCTTAGTCTCTTTCTAGGAGCTGTTGTCTACTTCACTGAACAAAATATTTGAGGCCCATTGTATGCTGTTCAGAGCAACTAGGGTAAAGAATCATGCCCAAGGACACAACTAAGTCTACACAAGCCAGTCCATTTCACAGCTTTTTCCCAGCTCTGCCATGGGTAGGGAGCATTAACAGTAAAAAGAAGCTGCAGAAATTGTCAAGCCCTCACAATGTTCTTCCAGCAAGGGAGGCAAGTGACAGTAATGGAAGAGGCAGCACTTACCATCTTTTTTCAGCAGATCATCAGACATACTAGCCATAGAGAGGTCTCCATTGATGACATCCAAGAAAAAGTCCGGAGGATTATTGTGTTCTTCTATTGCATAACCTGTACAAACAGTGATGTATAAAGCTGTATAACATAATGATACATAACCTGTACAAACAGTGATGTATAAAGCTGAATAACATAATGATACATGACCTGTACAAACAGTGATGTATAAAGCTGAATAACATAATGATACATAACCTGTACAAACAGTGACATATAAAGCTGTATAACATAATGATACATGACCTGTACAAACAGTGACATATAAAGCTGTATAACATAATGATACATGACATGTACAAACAGTGACATATAAAGCTGTATAACATTATGATACATGACCTGTACAGTGACATATAAAGCTGTATAACATAATGATACATGACATGTACAAACAGTGACATATAAAGCTGTATAACATTATGATACATGACCTGTACAGTGACATATAAAGCTGTATAACATTATGATACATTATTTATTACACAATTAACAAGATGTATCTCTATTAATTAACAAGATGTATCTCTATATCACATCTGACTATGACAGGGAACAGAACACACTCTCACAATTAGAAGTCATTGTAAAACTGTGCCCCTTTCTCTGTACTAATCTTTTGGAATGAATGGACAAACAGAATACCAATGAAATATAAAGAAGTGTAGTATGAATGGGGCACTAACTACTGTTAAACTGTATGAAAACTTATAACATTATATGAACAAAATGCCACAAGTATATTCCTAAGCCAAGAAGCATACAGTTTGCTGTTTAACAATGCACCGATTCCTGATGTTCAAACTCAAGCTTTATATTTCCACACTGAACCAGCCTAGAAAAGTTTGTTTAAATTGGAAAGTATTTTGAAAATGAAATTAAGGAGGTGATGGTCAGTATCCCACATTTTCCTGATTTCAGTATTGTACAGATATTTACCCAATGACTGAAAGTAATCCAGAGCTTCATGAGATTGGCCGTGGTACACTGTCTCACCAAGTGACAGCAACATGAGTCCATCAAACAAGCGGTAGATGGAATAGCGAGGCTGGTGAATGGAAAATACGATGGTGCGTCCTTTTAAGGCCAATCTGTGAATTGATAAGTATGTATATTTTCCTCTATCAAATATAATTTATTTCATGAAATTTGAGTGTACTCCTCTTATTCCAAAAAATGATTAACTGATAAAAGTTGACATATGTTACAGTCAGAGTTAATTTTGCTATCAAGATTAATCCTCAGAAATCAGGAGTCAACAATGACATAATTTTTAATATCTTTTAGACCTGCTTACCTGCGTAGTAATAACATGACAGAATTGGCTGTGTTGGAGTCAAGTCCTGTGGTCGGCTCATCAAGGAAGAGTACAGGAGGGGAGATAATCAATTCCATGCCTATGTTGGTCCTCTTTCTCTCTCCACCAGACACACCACGGATGAACTCATTACCCACCTATAATGTTTTTTGAATGCCACATAAAAAAATGAGCCTGGAAAATGTTTGTCAAAGATAAACCTAATACACATCCTTATACGGTTTTACTGTCTTACTTTGACCAATCATGTGTCAACTTTACCAGCTTGAATGAGTTTTACAGTTCCTATCTCATGTTTATATCTCACTTTAATATCAATAAAAACCTCAACAAAGTTTACACTTGTGTATATGGCCTGTCATATCTGTGACATCTATTATTGGTTTATTTGTGTTTGGAGATAAACCTTTGACTATCCATACTGACCTGTGACCTATCAACATCTCACCTTTCAGAGTGACCTGTGACCTGTGACCTATCAACATCTCACCTTTTAGAGTGACCTGTGACCTATCAACATCTCACCTTTCAGAGTCTAACACTTCATCTACAATCATTTGATGCTAGCCTCCCACACTGATTTGTAACCTCAAACTAGGTTGTCTGACTACTCAGCTTGTATCAGATCTTTTATTATAAAAGATGCCTTTTCAATCTTTGAACTTTACAAAAGCTTGATGCAAATGTACTTTTGAAGAATCTTAAATTGACTTTGTTTTCTTGATAAACTTTTATTTTCAAGGCATTTGTGTCTTATGAATTTATTCAATTTCTTCCTCCAAAATAGTCAAAAAAGAGCCCCTGTAGTAGACAACCTTTTCAGCAGTATTGAATTTGATCTCTTCCCTTTACGAATGGCACCCTATGTTTACGTATTATTTATTACTTTTATTTCTGACCTTGCAACTTTTTATTCCTTGAAATACTTTACCTGAGTGTTTGGCATCATTATTTTTATGACTTCTCATCATGGTGCCTGACCTCTAGTCTTTATAGGAGTTATAACTACAAACTCTAGTGCTTATCATGTCTTATCTTTGACATTTGATCTTAAACATTTGTTCTTGACCTTTAACCTTAATGTTTAATAGCATATTTTTATAGGACATCTTACTTTCTTGTATTAAACCTTTCACCTTTGTGTCTGACATTTCATGTATATGCTTGACTTTTCACCTTTGTCTGACCTCTCACCTTTGTGTCTGCACAGTGTGTGAGTCCCAGCTCCTGGATGACATTCTCTACCCGTTCGTTCCTCTCCTTTTGACTAACAGACTTGCTCAGACGCAAGGCTGCAGAGAAGTGGAAGTTTTCCCTCACCGACAAAGTCCCCATGACGACATCATCCTAAAAGTAAACATTCTATATGTATATGACAAAAGACTATGTACTTGGACTTATCAAGGAACTCATTTCCAACAACTTTTTGTTTAATGAATTTCAAATTCAAATCTAGATGCAAGCACATCGTTTTTTCATTTTTTTGTTTTTTTGGGGGTGGGGTGGGGTGGGGTGGGGTGGAATGGGGGAAGGGGGGAAGGGGGTGGTTTAAACTTTCAAATCTGACCTAAATCCAAAGTGACTGTTTAATCAAATGATAAAAGAATAAGGAGAAAGTTTTACATCAAAGCATCCCTTTAAGGTTAATAAAACTAAAAGCACTTTTGGGAAAAAAACCTTTGGTCTTTGATAGCTATAACAATTTCCTAGAAGCACACAAAGTAATTATTGATTAGAAATATTCTTAGCAAGCAATATTACTAATGAAGCATTCATGAAATCTAATTAATTGGAGAACGAATTGTATTGTAAAATAATCAAATTTCGAATAATAAACCTTTCATTTACAAAGCTGACTGTAGCAAAATAAGACTTAAGTGCTCTAAAGACACTTAAGCTACGGTACAGAGACTGAATTTCCATTTATAAGAACAATGACTTTGACTTTAATGACCTTCTGACCTGAAAAGCATCGATTTCAATGGTTTCTCTATTAGCCTTTTTTGGGGGTTTATAATTCATTAAGTCATTCTGAAGTGTATCTCCTTGTACATGTAGTACATAAAGCTGGTAACTATCTCACTAAGGGCAGAGGTCAATCAGAAACTATCAGGAGCATTGGGAGAACTCATGTTATTGCATAATGATAATAATAACATTAAGATAACATTTGACCTTCAGGCCTGAAAAACTTACTACGGCAAGCTGTGTATGAATTATATTTAAGTATTAAGACAGACCTTTCTTTGAATGTACAATATATATAATTAATTTATACAAATGACACTTACACACATGTAATGTAGTAATTAAACAAGAGGACCAAGGCTTTAATGGTCACTTGAGTTACAATGTTTCTTGTAATATGTCAAAGAAATGATTTTATCACAAAAAGTAAGATACCTTTAACTAAAATGTACACATAATGCAAATGTAAACTGTGCATACTGTTAACTGCTGTCTCATGCTTATACTGAAAATTCTAACTAAGGTTCAACTATTGCACACAAAATGTTTTTTTTAAATATGCTCAAAAATACACTTTTTCTATAAAGTAGAAAATTTTACCCCTTCCCAAGGGGAAATGTGATACTCTAGGGTTATGAAATCTACAATTTTGGTAAAGCACTGTATGACACTTCTATCCATTAAATTTCGGTAAATTTAACACTTTTTTGGACCTGCCAATCATCATCTCCTGTGGGTCAGCTGAGGTCAATATGTACATTCATCAAAGTGATTGTGCCTGGTTATGACTGAAGGGTTCAAAGCTAAGCTAGGACTTCTTTTTGAAGGCCTAATATTTTTGGTATGGAACTGCTTAATACAAACTGATGTACCAAAATTGTGTCCTGGCACACAGGTTGAAGGAATTGAAAATCAGATAGGACTTATTTTTAAAGGTCCGATATATTTTTGCATGAAGCTGGCGAATGTTCCATCCCTGACCACTGTATCTTGCATCACAAGGCCCCAATATTGGGACACAAATGATATGCATTTTTTAGACATGGTGGAATTTCATAAATACTTATTACTTTTTAGTTTGTAATCCTTATATTTATTTGTATGAGAATTATGAAATTTACCAGAGGATTCAACTTAATCATTAACTTAAATCTACTTCAGCATCAAAATCCCTCCCCCAACCGCCACATTTTGTTTCTATATATCTATGCAATCTTAATTAATTGTCTGTGGTTAATTATACAAACAAGCTTTCATTACCCCATATAACACGTATATTTTGTACATGAACCAATTCACCAACTACTTCCTCTTTCAGGGTTTGACCAATTCTACCCTTAACATACCTGTAAGTAATCTAACTTCATTTTTAGATGGTGAGGTCATTATGTGGCTGTAGTGGGTCTAGGTTTCACAGGTTTTATTTGTATGTTACACACTGTATATCTACAAAACAGTTACACACATCAACACTTCAACCAGGTAGATAAGGCATAATGGTAGCATATGTGTAGCCTAAATATCAAAATCACCTGATAAACCCCCGTGCGCCAGTACATAACCACGGACTCAGGGGGTGGGCTTATTATAGGACATTGACATAAAATTTATTGTGAGTTTCACAGCACAGCAAGAGGTGGACTTAAAACCAAATATGGTTAGACAGCTGAATAAGTATGGTATAATTGATCAACAGTTGCCCTACCTGTGTCTGTAAGTTTTACGAAACAGTATACACGGCACACTAGTATATTCATTATTTTGTCATTAAACCTGGGCTACACACTCCCCTCATCACTGTAAAATGTCCTACCTTTTAACAGTACAGATGACTTGGATTCAGCCCCTATATTTATTGTATCTATAGTACAATACACTTAATGAGTGTCTATAGTTGGCACTTTAAGTAATTAATTCAGGTAAAGGTGGTCTTTTCTGTTATATATACAGAATAAAATCACACTGGAGTGATGATTATTATTTCATTATTAATAAACCCTCTAGCGATATCATTACAGCATTAACTCAGACACCCTCTAGATTTATCATTACAGTATTGACTCAGATAGCCTCCAGAATTATCATTCCATTATCAACTCAGATAGCCTCTAGAATTATCATTACAATACCAACTCAGATAGCCTCTAAAGTTATCATTACAGTATTAACTCAGTCTGTAGAGTTTTTATTACAGTATCAACTCAGACAGCCTCTAGAGTTATCATTACAGTACATGTATTATTACATGTATAATTAGTTATCATTCAGCCCCTACAACTGTTCTTACAATCTTAAATATTTATTCCTGTAGTAATGTATTGTATTAAAAAGTTTTGCTGTAGGAGATGAGATCAATTGTGTAGTAAGAATCACAGGTAAGTTACCTGTACTACGTATCCCACCATGCACTTGTAGTTATCAGGTGGGGGTGCCCCATCAATCAGTATATCACCACTCAGACCCACTGGGTCCTTCCTCCCTGCTAGAACATCCAGTAATCTGTGGTGAAAATTCAATTTTTGTATTAAAATCTAGCAGTAAATTAGTGTGACTTATCCGTTTCAGTATATTTGTCCAAACTAAGCCAGTAATGTATATAATATCTATATTTTTTTACCTCCATTCTCTATACATCTGTCCTTCCCTACTGCTATACTTTCTCTAATTTTGTATACCTCCCCATTTCCCCCTCCTCATTCCTTCCTCTCACTTTCCCTGCTTCTGTGTGTCCTCCCACTACCTTTGACCTCTTCCTCCTTCCCTAATCTCTTCTCTCCCCATCCCATTCCTTCTTCTTCCATACCCTTGCTCTCCATTCCCCTTGATTCCAATTTCCCATATGATGTACATTACCACAACTTTCTCTTTCTGTCACTCCCCCTACCTCTTCCCTCTCTCTTCCTGTCACTCCCCCTACCTCTTCCCTCTCTCTTCCTGTCACTCCCCCTACCTCTTCCCTCTCTCTTCCTGTCATTCCCCCTACCTCTTCCCTCTCTCTTCCTGTCACTCCCCTTACCTCTTCCCTTTCTCTTCCTGTCACTTCTCCTACCTCTTCCCTCCCTCTTCCTGTCACTCCCCTACTTCTTCCCTCTCTCTTCCTGTCACTTTCCCTACCTCTTCCACTGTCCTCTCCTTCCTCTTTCTTCCCCTCCCTACAGTCTCCTCCCTATCTTTTAAATTGTTTCCTGTTGTATGCTTTAATTCTACCACAAAATCCATTCTCCAGATCTCCTGTACACTGAACTGATATCAAATTTCCTTTATTTCTCAAATGTAGTACTCAACCTGTGTATACAGGACAGTCACAGTAAAATCACTGCCAAAATGAATATCAAAAAACACTGAAGTGATGTTCTAACTAAATTAGAAAATATATATAAAAGAAATGAATATACTCACGATGATTTTCCACTCCCAGTAGGCCCAAGAATGGCATTCATCCCTGGTTTAAAGACTCCACTGAAAGGACAAACAATAATACTGGATGATACAAAAATAGGATTCAATGGTTCATGTATAAAATTGCAACAACAGGTAAAACAAACCCCTTCAAATTAATTTATAAGGTTTTGATAACAGGGCTTTTTCCACTCCATCCCAAAGGGCCTTTTTTCAATCTCATTTTGGAAAGAAAATTAGGATCAGTTTGGAAGGACATTTATGGAATAAACTACATGTATGTATTTTGGGAATTTGGCCATATTAATTTGAAATAAATCCAATTAGGAATGGGGCATATAATCAGTCTCAAACATTATATTGCCTATAACTTTCCTGAATTTTTTAAAATTGATTAAAATTTCATGATCTGTGTGTAAAAGGACATCTGATACACACTTGTCTCCTTACTTCAGGGATTTTTGCAATCACATGTTAATGTACTTCAGAATAGCATCCTTGTGAAAACAACTGGCTTTACAGTAAAAATGAACTTCAGGCATATTAGGAATCAGCTAGAAAGGTAGAGACGCCATAAAAAATGTTTTCAATCTGTAAATGTTGGAATTTGGACTGCAAAGAACTGAGAGAGCAATGCGTATATGGAACAGGGGAGTAAGTTGAATTGGGCAAGATGATATCTCTCCATCTGTGTACAGGAAATAGCATCAGAAGTCCCTTTAAACTGATACAATTGAGTATAGACTTTTACACCTACATGTAGTGCACAAGATTAAAACTAAGTTTAGACAAGGTACGGACTACAGGTAAAACAGATGTTGGTACTATCTTCCCTAATACAGGTAATGGACAGTGCGTATGACTATCTGTGATTTTTTACCTGTGTTATATCATAAATCCTTACCTGTATAATATATTACAATTGTGTCAATGACATTGTTTTTATTGTAATATTAATGCTTATGCATTTCTTAATTCAAAATATATTCAATTGAATAGCTATAAACTTGCAATAATTATTAATATTTGAAAAAAACTCAGACTTATAGGAACAAAAGATCTGAGATGAATGAAAGTCATCCTATTTGGAAGAGAGATATATAATTTACAGAGTTTACAATGAAAGGAAATTAATTAATTGAATACATTATCTACTTGTAATTCTCCAACTTGTAAACAAAAACAGCTGTTATAGAAATTTTAGAAAGCATCTCAATAGGTGTAAATGATGTAATGATGACAGCCAGAATAAGATTTGTGTATCTATCATACATTAAGTTGAACAAACTTTAATCAGTGATGATCCAGGTAAGTAAAGGAAGTGATTAGCCGATAATCTGTTAATGAAGGAAATTAAGACACTGGTGACACTCAAGGCTGAGATGAAATTAGAGGGCTTTTGTCTAAAAACCACAAGAGAGTGAATTACACACCTGTACAATGTACAAGTATACACCTACAATATATAGGAAGACTACCAATGAGGCTGTCATTATACCTATGGCACAGTCAATATGATCCTGCTGTAGTTATAAAAAATATAGTTGAAGCACTTCATGCACAATATGATAATACAAAGCTTAACACATTAAAAATTCCATTTTAAACCAAAGCATTAGTAAAATATTTAAGTTTTCATAATCTTTTATCAGGCAGATCTAAAATCTTCATTTGTGTGTTATCATGATTTAAATACATGCATGTATTTCATTATTTGAAATAGGATCTAATGAAAGGTTAAGGTCGTTTTCCATTATTCTATTGTTTACAAGGCTTGGTGGGTTTTGTTGCTGAAAGCCCCTCACATTTTACAATAGATTTAAGGGCTGGTCGTATGTACATGAGAGTGATGATACTGAGGAGGGGATCAACAATCCTAGCATAATGTGACACTGATTAATTAATTGATCTGTTGATTGGATAAGGTGACTGGATGATCAATTTTTACCTGTAGCACATTCAGTTATTACTGGTGTTTTCAAAATGTTGGGGAGGTAGGGAAGGCGGGACCCAGGCAACCCTCATTCTGGATACTCCACAAGAACAAAGCAATAATATTTAATATTTGAATGTTAAATTGTACTTTGTTGGAGATGTCTGAGAAGGCAGTCAATTTTAATGTGTCATTTTCCTATTTCTGCCTTTTATGAGTTCAGAACATGTGATTTATATACATATACAAAATATACACAATATGTGGGTCTGTCATTGTATCTTAAGACCACAGATAACGATATCTACAATATAAGTCTGTGCTAAAGACAGGTGTTCCTGTCAGGAGTGAGTGTGATGAATGTAAAAATACACAGTTTTAAAAGCATGTTATTTTAGTGTTAATCTAAGGAGATATTTACTCAATAAACCATATACCACTCCAACATTCAAACATTTGTTTTACCACTGTCAAGAAAATATACTGTAAATATCAATACAAATTACTAGACAGTATGTTATACAAATATATTTTGTAATCAAGTCTCGTTTTGTATTATCACAGATAATACTTTCATTTCATTAGTTAATAGATTAAAAAGATATACTCTCATCTATGAACTGAAGAACAATTTGAAAACTTAAAAGTTTTATTTTCAATTTTGATAATTTTTCATTTTTTTTTTATAATTATTCAATGAAAATACCTAATGATATGGTACCAAACAAGTAACACTGTAATATTTACTCTCTACAGCTGTACTGATAAAACCACAGGTACATTTTATTGTAGCTTGGGTTCCAAAGTCTCTTGGCTGAAACACAATGAGGCCATGGGCTCTACACGTTATATATCAGGGATTTTTTTCACATTACCTATGTGGACCCTAGTGCACTTCTAGTTTACCTTAAATCAGTTTCTTGTGAATTAGTGGGGTTTTTTCCATGCACACTATGAGTGAACTAGGGTGTAAAGATTAGTCTACACTCAACTGTAGATGTCTTAGCATTAGGAAATGATATCTCTATGTATAAGAAAATTCTTGAAAAAAACATTTTTAATAGATATCCATAAATATTAATGTATTCCACTTTGATTTGCCATACATACGAACATCTGCTTCCAGAATGCTTGCCTTCAACATGATGTGGTGTTATCCTGCATGGGTGTTTATAGAAAATAAAACAAAACTGATGGTTCTTAACATGTAGTGATTAACGATGTGTCATGATGACCCAAGTCGATTGTCTAGATGTGAAACTATACTTACTCGATGTTTTTAAGGATTTCCTTTTTCACCATAGACCCACAGCACGGTCTGGACGGAATGTTGACACTATAACAGATGTTGTGGGCTGTGATCGTTGACCCGGCCCTTGAAGTCCTGACGTCCACCACATGGTCAGCACCGTAACTTTTACTGCCATTAGTAGTCACCAGGTGTTCCTGTGTGTGAACTTTATTGTCATTAATGCCGTTTAGAGAAAATTGCTCTCGCAGACCACCGTTGGCGTTTTCCCTCGACATTACCACCAGCTATCTTATTCCTGGCTACCGAGATATGACTATCGACCCCATCCACACCCTACACACGTGTGTGTCTATTCACGTTTGTGTATTTTGTTATGAAACTAAAGAGTTCGATCTATCAGAGTAATGGTCAAGGGGTGGAAGGCAATGTTCGTGTTGATACACATGTCAGTGTTATTTACCACAGGAATCACATTTGAAAGAACGGGTTGTATATTGCTTTTGGCGGAGACGTTTAGGACTCATTTAAAGAAAGATTGAATTATTGGTAAGAGTACGACTTTATATGATAACTATCTCCCCTCCCCACCCGTATCAAATAGAATCATCCAACATAAGACGGCTACTGTCATCCATGACGGAATTAAGCGGCCGTGTTCGGAGGACAAATTACCTCAATGACAACATGACGTGTACTTAACAAAAGACGCACTATATATTGCCCTTATGTCTCTAAAAATAAGAACAGCAGTCAGTGATCCGAATCCGATCTCTCAAAGAGTACTGTACAAGGGAGGTTTGTAGTACACATGTACTCGACTTGCACCAATTTAAAATTTGAGTTGGTGCATATATAAAAGCAGGGACGTATAATAAAAGTAAATTAGATTTCTTTCGCTCATTTTCCTATTGTATATATTTCAGAAATTGCACAAACTATCAATTTGCCAAGATATATTCAATATTAGGCAGTTTCTTAAATCACGCCTTTTGGTCCTCTCTGAAATTGTCCGTACCGTCTCATTGCTGTTCCTACAACTCCTACCCTCTTCCCTATTGAGAATAGAACCCGAAAATTAATCAACCAAACCTTCAGGTAAACATCTGCAACAAGTGTAGTCTGACTGAGGGTCAGTCTGACTCTCTAAGTCTGACTCTCTATCTGGATATAATTTTGTCTCGATCTGCGAGCAAGACAAAATAAACTCGTTGATAGATAGTCTAGAACCCTTTGGACTACAACAAATGGCGCCTTCAAATGGTCATTCTTACCGCGCTCCCATGATGGTCATACCCTCCCTGTATTGTCTTGACAGATCAGCTGACTCCAGCCTATCATTAAACCTCTCCTACACTGAATTCTAACTTTGCACACAGTGTATTATTAAATCTTTAAAAAGGAGAGAGAAATATATCTATATTTCAACATTTTTTCACTGTGTCCCTCACGCACTCCAGGTAATCTTTGCTAAAAAGAACAAAAAGAAACATCTTCATGAAGAACGCCGAAACGATGCAGATAGAAGGCATTTTAATCTGTAGAGACGAAGACAGTGACAGACAAGTAAGAACGCCCATAGAATGACAACATACTTTTAGTAAGAATCACGCTTGAGACGTAGACGAGAAACCTGTAATCTACATTCAATGCCGTGTTTACTTTTTACCGATCGTTGATTTAAACTCTATATTTTTTTGATGATGTACCTTGTAAAACCTTATGCAATTCTTTACAAACTCCATATTCGCCCAGCGTACAGGCTATAACAAGTTCTCAGTTACCATAGCGGTCTGTACTTTTTTACAAGAGACATACGTGGTTGATAAATAATTTCAGGTCTCTGATCAGCTGAAGGTAAATATTAACATAAACAATTCAGGGTTTGGAGCCTCTAGATATTCTGAATAGCCAAGTAAACAGAACGACAACCACAGAGGAGAAACAGAGACTTCAAAAATAAATAGTAATATACTATTTGTATTATACACTTCTCATAGAAACTGCTTGCCTGTAATGTTCGAATAATCCGCAAAATCCGGACGCCGATAGTCCGGGAAACTTAAAACCAGGGCGGAAATGTTGGATTTCCGTATCGTTATATTGCACTAACCAGTCTGAAAATTCGAAATACGGCACACTGAACATTAAGCTTGTGAAAGCAAGTAGGAATATATATGAAACACAGGAGAGTGTTTTAAAATGTATGTTTTAAAGTTGCCAGATACTTCTATGAACCATGATCACAGGTATCAAAAAATATGTGCGCTTTCCTAAATTGCCGCATGTTTTTCGCCCCGAAGAAATTTAACTCGAAAGAAATGTACTCAGAATTTCATTTCAGTGAAAACAATGAAGGAAACATCGTGCCTCCACCAGGGTTCGTACTAGCATCCCTTTGAGTCTCTTGTCGGACGCTCTACCGCTTGACTTTAGGGAAGGTACTCCCTAGTAAGATCAGCTGACTCCAACTGTTCTCAAATTTCTTCTTCACTAAATTCTAACTTTGTACGCGGTGAAATGTTAAGTCTTTAAAAGGAGAGAGAAATATATCTGTATTTTAACATATTTTTTTCTCTTGTGTCCCACACACAGTCCAGGTAATCTGGTAAACTAATCCGGTAATCTGGTAAACTTTTACACTACTCTCTCCATCACAAAGTCTTCGACCCCAAAGACAACAACAACACAAGGAAACATCTCGGTCTCCAATAGCTTCTACCCTTGGATTGGTCACGACACCAAATCTGTAATAGGAAGGAGTAATATAACTAGCGACCCTGGCCGTTCTTGTAGTGAAATTCCCACTAGCCAATGCTAAGGCGACCAGTATTCTCAGCTTCTGCAAAACCGACAAACCACTCCACAATAAATAGTTTGACTATGATTCCACAAATAGGATCTACATTACTCAAGGAAAACGCTTATAAAGTATTCGTTAGACCCTTCCTTAAGTATGAGTGGTATTCCTGTAAGAGTGACATATAACAGATAGAAATAGTGTAGCAAAGAGCTGTTCGGTTTGTTAGTGATGTGCTTAACAAACTTGGAAGGCCTAGCACTGAAAAGTGTACATGACCATGTGGCCATGTCAAAAGGTAATTTCACTCTATCACTACCATCATGCGGTCACGCTAGACATGCTCATCTATAAAGATTCTTTCTTCTCTCGTATAATATCTTATTGGAACTACATTACACAATGTAACAGACAAATCGTAACAAACGGAACACAAAAAAGACTCGTATCAAATTATCTTCAATTTGCTCAGATATTGGTGTATGAAGTTAGTCTGAAAAGGATATCATGAAAGGATAGAGAAACGTAACTTCTTTGATTGTGGAAGATTTTTTATTGAATATAAAAAGCTGTATAAGAGAAATATTAGGGCACCGTAACTGATCCCCCAGAAATGCTAAAATTCCGTTATCCGTGTGGGGTGGATCGGTTATGGTTTTAGGAGAAATTTTCCAAGGTTTAAAGACACCTTTAGTGATCATTAACGGAAATGTAACGGTTGTACGCTGTCGAGATGAGATCCCGAGACCTAAGGTTGTGCCTTTCATTTGACATTTCAGCATGATAACGTTAGGTCACATGTTGAAAGAGTTTGTAGTGTCTTTCTTGCAACCTAGAACATCGTCCCTACCGATTGACTTCCACACAACCCCGGTTTGTCCCCAATCGAACACTTATGGGATGAATTAGACAGAAGAGTTCGAAATCATCCCAAACAACACGTGAGACCAGACTGCAATTTATCTGTAACTACAATGGACCCATTTTCACAATGTTTCCGTAACTACAATGTATCAACCTAAAACGCATCCGTAATTACAATATATCTGTAACTAAAATGGACCCATTTTCACAACGAGTCTGCAACTACAATGGACACATAACTACAATGTTTCCGTAACTATAATGTATCTAACTACCATGTATCTAACTACCATGTATCTAACTACAATATATCTAACTACCATGTATCTAACTACAATGCATCTAACTACAATGTTTCCGTAACTACAATGTATCTAACCACAATGTTTCCGTAACTACAATGTATCTAACTACCATGTATCTAACTACAATGTATCTAACTACAATGTATCTAACTACAATGTATCTAACTACAATGTATCTAACCACAATGTTTCCGTAACTACAATGTATCTAACTACCATGTATTTAACTACCATGTATCTAACTACAATGTTTCCGTAACTACAATATTTCTATAACTACAATGTATCAGTTACTACAATGTAGATCTGTAACTAAAATACATGCGTAGTTGCTATATATCGGTAACAATAGTGTACTCGTAATACAATGTTTCTGTGTTTACAATGTACCCACTATAACTACAATGTATCTATAGCTACAATGTGTCCATACATACGTTATATAAATGTGAATATTCACGACAATACTTAAGACGAGATCTTGTTAAATTCCTGGTTTTGTTAGTGCGGATGTCCATGTTTGAATCGTCCCTTTATCCTACCCCGATACCCTGCTGAGAGCGAAAGGGGTCGTAACCCCTTGAGTATCGACGATGCTTTTGAATCAAATTATCCAACCTGGCAGTATGCAATATGCACTCGTTATTTTTCTTTGTGTAGGCAGGTTGATATAAATTAGAGCAGTACTAAGAAACTTCTTTATAAAATTAATTATATTTTTGATGGCTGTCCACACGTGACACAGAACTTACCTTGGAGGTAGACCTTTTCATTGAGCTGTGTTAGTTTGTATCACGGTAATTTTTTTTACAGACCAACACCAATGTACACCTCGGGACCCGGCGACACGTTGTCAGTCTCTCTATCATTTGCGTAAGTTATCATAGGACGTCCGCTCACCTTATATGTATCTTATCAATGTTTAATGATTATATTTCTCACATGTCACTGGGTTTTGTTTCAAATGAACGCTCTCCGTATACCAACAGGCAGAGAGACTTATATACAACACAGTAGATAACACAGTTATTAAGAACCCTTACAAATTACGTTTATCTTATCTAGTGATGTATATCTAGGGCATATTGAAATTAAAATGAACATTAAATACATAACTGAAATACAAACGTATTTATACAGTCAACAATGTTATATATTTATTACTTAAATAAATTCAAACTTTATCAACGATATATCTACAATCATATATATATTTCGTGAAGTGAATAAGATATAAGCGAATCTATTGCATGTAATAAATGTTAAATTTGTTGAATGATTGTAAGGAATTATTTTTTGAAAATGAAACATTTTTGTGTGTTTGGTAGACCCGAAGTTCAAGCTAGTTATTGGCCTTGTGTTGCTGCTCTCCTCCAGGGCGGCGCTCCGCATAGTAAGAACGTAAACACGAGACGAAGAGGATTTGTATATGTATGAGTTTCGTTCTTTATCATTTTATTCACGTGCTTTCTTTACCGTGACCTGACAGTACAAAAGTTGACAGCAATGTATAAGAGCATCTAGATACATGTTGTTGCAGAATATCTGCGCAGTGGTCCGGAAACAACCCCCTGTTGCTCTCGCTACCCCGAAGATACTCCACAACCATCAGATGCTCCGATCCAACCTGTCAACTCTTCGTACTTTTAGGTCACGGTACTCCTTGCATTAGTTGTGTTGAAAAGGATAACACGTCAATAAGTATTATGTATATATTTATATATATTGGAATATATTGTTAGAAGGCCATATAAATGGTGCGTCTAAATACCGAGTTGGTCTACCATCAAAATTTATACTATCCAATACTAACCCTATGCTAACCCAGGCTTACCCAAATGCTAGACTAGTTAATTATACTTTGATATTAACAAATAATTACAAATAACCAAATATGTTTTTTAGCAGATTGCATTTTCTTCATGTTGGAGGGATAAGTAATCTCGGCAGTGTCGTTCTCCAGTACTAGTGTAGAATGCCGTCATTTTCAGCCCACTTGGCTCGTAGGGATGCCGCGGCGTCCATCGTCCATCCGTTGTCTGTAAACTTTCTCTATAAAACTGCTAGTCATAAACGACTTAGTAGAAATTTACCAAATTTGGTCAGAAGCATCCTTAGGGAAATGCGAACATGTTATGTATAAATGGCGTGTCCCGGCCCCAGGACCTGATCGGCGGGGTCCAAAACGGGTAATGTTGCAATTTCTTTAAAATCTTATTCTCCTGTTGGAATAATTGGATTTTGCCCAGCAATTCTGATGTGTTTACCAGCCGTTCTCCTGTTCACTCCATTCAATTTGTAACATTAACGCTATAAATTCGATCGAGCTGGATTGAAGGATCATAGTGATCCATGCTTTTCTTTGAAGTAGAAACAGTGATTAATTGAAATATTTAAATTATAACAAATTTTGATTTACACATATTTCATTTGTCGTATGGCAAAAAGGATTAGGCACAAGTTATCACAACTTAAAAACCCCTTCTCCTAAAGATTTCATTATACAAGTTACATGATAACAATAACAATTTTTAATCAAATATATAGATATACGAATAAAAAAGATAGGGGGATGGGGGAGGGGGGGGGAGGAAGGGAAAAGAAGAATTGAGTAGGAAATAGATTTGAATGACAAATATATACTAAGTTGTGTGTACACCAAAAGTGACTCGTTTGCAAGTCATAATGCCGGATTTCAATGCTTGATTTTCACTGTTTTTATAACCCCTACGTGGCGTATTATCGTATGTATTTTCCCCCGAGATCCTCTCACATTTCTACCGCCGTCTTAAAAATTTTGTGTGACTTGATCACTGTGGCAAGAAGTTAAGTTTACCTGAACAGCAAAGTTGTTCGACTGTATGTGGAAGAGCTACGTCCCCTTTGTGTTTTCTTTTTTTTTAATTGATATAGTCTGGAGTTTACCCTCAGTTTTCAAGCAATTTCACTCCAATCGTGCTACCCTTGTCTAATTATCATCTGTTTCAGTTTTCAATCATTTCTTTCATATTTGGTCTGAAGCTTTACCCCAGGGACCGAGTTTCCCGACCCCACTCCAGGGACTTAGTTTCCTTATTATATCTTTGAAACAGATAAGATACCCACCCTTTAACCACATAGAACAATGATTTGGAAATATTTGAAATATCCTACCTATATGTTTGTATAAAATTGCTAGCCTTTAAGATCCATGTGAGGGATACAGGCCCTATGGGCCTTTTGTTTCTATACAACGTTACCCGGTGTTGTGACGTATATGGGTTTCCCTTAAAGTGCCGGCACGTGAGGATTCCCGGGAAACTCTGGAAATATATGACTGGCCATTCCTTGTCTTGGCTAGGCACAGAATTGTCCCGAGTAGGATCAGGAGGAGGTACTAGGATCACAGGGATGGGACGCACGGACTAGATTAATAGGGTTTCTCGAATGGACGTAGAATAATTAAATAAGTCTTCCGTCAAACCTGGAATGATCATGATGTTTGAAGAAAAAACTGGTCCGGGCTGATGACTCATCGTGACGCAACACCTGGTAAATCTTTAAACTGTATTTCGGTCACAAAATTAGTTTTTAGTTTTACGTTCAGCGGCAACTGTTGACTCCCGGCCCAAGTTTGACCAGGGAACTGACTGGGTGTCATCAGATACTTTCCGTCGTCTAGGCTCTCGCAGTGTCCGTCGTCTATCCGTACCACAGTTACTTGTCTGTCTTCTATATTAATGCCTCCGTCGTTGTTCATAATGTCTTCGTTATTATCTATATATTAGGGAGGCATTGGAGGGTGTGGGGAAAGTGTGATAACAAGTGTGGTGTGTGAATATTTCTACAAGTCTTGTATCGTCTTGTCTCTAACATTGTGTAATAAACTCGTGAACCTTATATTTTGCAGTTGGTTGTCCTGTCAAACTATGTTATAGTAAACCCATAGAACTCTGGAGTGTTACCTTAGTAGAATTAGCCAATGTACGAAGACTTATACGAACACTTGCGAAAAAAAATTTGTGCCGGATTTTTAATAAAAAAAAACCACATTTACTACCTTATACCACCGAAATATTTTGAAAAAATAAATAATTTTTTGCCTTAATATCAATTAACATTTTTCTAACTTCACTTTTAATTCTGCCACTGCATTGAACAGTGTTTGACTCTGAGCGATACTCAAATCCACCAGACACGTGATGTGTTATATACGTCTCTGAATCCACGGACTTAAAAGAATTAAATCAATGGTTTATTTCTCTTGTTCGGCATCACACACATGCCTCGGATAGATTATTTGTGACATATTCCAGAAAAAACTGTTGTACCAGTTTTGTAATTTTGAACTTCATTTCATATTCGTAAGCGTAACAGGAACACATGTACGTCTCCGATATTAAATACGCAGAAGATACATTATATTTCACCTTCAAGTGTCCGTGTTAGGTTTTCAATTAGCCAAAAGATGTTTGTTATGTAAGTCATGCTAGTATGTTTTAAACTTATCCAATGTATATTTTAGAAATAAGAAATGAAGGTAAAGAGAAGTACAAACAACAGAGGGAGATTTACCAGTTATAGAAACGTGCTGGTTATTTACGCCCCTCTGTAATAACCTATAATATTTTGAGTGTGAATACTCCTATGCTGTTGAAACTAAATATAATTACAGAAAATTCTCCCAAGATGAATATATATGAAACTGTTTCCAATTACCATATCCAAGTATGTTCCAGATCTATTCCATTTCTATTAATTAAAATCATGGAATACGAGGTCAGACCAATCAGTGTGTAAAGGGGCATAACTCGTATATTGCATAGGTATTCAATCGCGTATGGCGTGACATTCTGTACGAAATCGTGGAATTTCTATGCAAGAATCATTGTCAGAAGCTAATAAGTAATATTTAACGTTATTAGTTTATATTTTTGTAAATTTATGTATAATTCCGTTATTATAACTGGTTTAACGTAGCATTGGATAACAAGCCGTCTCACAATCACATTTTTGCCTAGAAAACACTATTTACCAAGTTCAGACATTTCATCATTTGTAATCATTAGTTGATATTTAAGTATAATTAACCAGTATTTTGGTAATATTTGGTTAATATTCGGTAGCACTGGGTTAGTATGGGGTAATATCGGGTATATAGACGTACCGCCAGACTTGCACGCGTGACTTACGCGGATTGTTTCTTTTAGCGTTTGTAACGTGCATTATAATTTATCTGGTTGGAGGCACAATGGCAGCGATCGCATGGAAGTAATAAGCAAAAGAACAATTCTGACGTGTTCTCATGTTGTTAAACTGTTCACTTCATTCATTTTGTAACCTTGAGCTTAACCCGGCGTAGCTCGATTGAGCTGGCATGGAAGGATGATCTAAGATTTTCTTAGAATTAGAAACAGTGATATAGTTAAACTTTTAAATCATAGCATATACGTATATCAGAGACGTATATATCACGTCTCTGGCTTAAGTCACCATGGCATGAAGTGGCGTTCTCCATAACGGCAGTTTGATTTGTCTTTATTTGGAAGAGTTACTGCCCCTTGTTGTTTTCTCATTTTAACAAAAAAAAATCATCTGTATATTTTTAAATAACTTTGACACTAAATGGTGTTCTTCTACACAACAGGTTTTTTTCATTAATTTTTCCATGAAGTATTTTTTTTAGCATTTTACTTTTTTAGGGAGATCCTCTTCCTCAGTTTTATCTCTGAAACTTTGTAGGATTTATAACAATTACATGAAATGTTGTTTTCCTAACATAATACTGACATTTTGATTTTACAGCTTTGGAAAGAGTAACCCCTCCCTTTTTTAACATTGTTATCTTGTCCAGATGTATATCCTCCATCTGATTTCAACCAATTTCTTTGAAACCTTGTAGGCTTGATAACCTCTACATGAGATTGCTTTCTTGTGAATAATATTTTGTTTCAACAATGCATAGAAAAGTAATTTTTTTGTTTATTCATCATTAAAACAAATATATAATACTTTTATTCCCCTTGATGTTTTGATTTACTATAAACTGCCATTTCCATATTTGTATTCTTTTGCATATGTACAACAAATCCTGAATATGTTTTCGCAGGCAAATATTATTCTGCCTTGTTCAAAATTGTTTGAATTATTTATTATGATAAAACTAGTACTATATAATGACCAAATTTTACATGACAATTGGAAGATTGTTATACAGTAATGTTCATGTACTGTACATATCCATCTCAAATGTACAAATATAGTACACATGATGTGAACAAACATGGACCTGCTAGAATGATGTTGTAGATTGATGCTGTAGATATAACTGGTGATTAGACAATACATATCATCTATGGCACCCACTGTCAGCTGTTGATTATCATAAACCTGTAGGTTTTAAAATTCAGGGACAATTGTTTATCTTATTTTTTTTCTTTTGTGATGGTTTATCTTGATGGATCATTTGACCTGGTCTAGATTACATCTGCTGAATACTATAAACTAGTTGTGCCCCAACAATGTCCTTCTTCCTGATATCTCCTCTGTATGAATAAGCACGGTGTGTAAGTCTGTGTTTACAGTGAATGTGAGACTCATAAATTTTACTTTTTTATCTTTACCTGCTTGACGTTACCTGTAGATTGTTTATTTTGTATGTGCAGGCAGACAGTGTCCCCACAGATAACATGAAACTGGCAGTATTGGTTCCCAGGATACAACCATGTTTGAGAACACTACTTCCATGTGTGGGTACATATGTAGCCGCTGGAAATGTTGTAAGGTTCAGGTCACATTTAGATGGTAGTGGTTGTAGAAAATTTAGCAGTCAAACTAACACACCTGAACTATTTGAGGATTATGAATGGCACAGGAAGTGGATGGAAAATGAATCCAGGAAAGAAAACCTTCCAGAGTACTACAATTTCGCTCGAGATGTGATTGACAGATGGGCAACCCTAGAGCAGGTGAGAAAATTTTAACAGCACTGCAGAGTATTATTACATCATCAAATTCATTTTTCATAAAGGCATTTAAAGCAATAATGAAGAAAAAATATTAATTATTTTCTACATAATTTGATGGTTTTATCAGACAGGAGTGCGGCAGTTGTCCAATCCTGCCTTATGGATTACAAACAATGATGGAGAAGACCGCAAATGGAGCTTTCAGGACCTGTCCTCTCTGTCAAAGAGGTATGCTATATGGGCATTACTTAGTTTGTCATTTTAAATGACCAGTAACTGTGATCAGTAAAGCATGTCGCAAGAGATGCTGTTCAACTGTCCAAATATTTATAAGGTCACCTGAGACAAAGTCTCATGGTGACCTATTGCAATCATCTTTGTTCGTCATCATGCATCGTGCATTTGTAAACAATTTAACATTTTTGACTTCTTCTCAAAGACCTCTGAACCGATTTGAGTGAAATTTTGCAGAAACCTTTCCTGGTCAAGATGAAATAAAATACCTAGTAGTGAATTATACAGACCCCACCCTACAGGGGCCTGAGGGGCAGGGCCATACATGTGAAATAAACTCAAATTTCAAAAATCTTCTTCTCAACACCCAGATATGTTAAAATCAAATGCTCTTCCTGAAGGCTATACCAAAATGGCGAATTTCATGGCCACAGGGTCTCATATTTTCCCTTGGGGAGGGGGTAAGATATACTATACTGATAGTTTGTATAGGAAAAATTACTTTTTGAACATAATTTGTTTAATTTCCATTGGAAATATTTCAAACTTTGTTAGAATTATGAGGGAGGGATGACAGCTAGATGGTATGCATAAATTGATCCTGCGTGACCCCCAGGGGTTGATGACAGGACCAAAAGGGGTCAAATTGACTTAACTTTGAAAAATCTTCTTCTCAACACCTAGTTATAGGAGAATGAAATGCTCTTCATGGATGGAAGTATCTTAAGGTGCTTTAATTACCAAAATGGCTCTCACATTTCTTCCTGCGGAGGAGGTTAATTTTACTATCATTTTTTTTTATAGAATTTTGCATTTTTGGAACATAACGTTGTTAATTTCCCACAGGAAATAGCTTTGTAAGAATTATTAGTATAGGATGACAGTTTTGATGGTATGTATGTATTGACATTGGCTTACTATCATCAATGTCACTATTTCTCTTTGATGACGCTTGAAAGCTACTTACCCTGTAATCTTTACATTTAACATTGCTTATTTCAGGTGACCGTCAAGGCCGCTAGGTCTCTTGTATAAATCTAGATATAGGGGGCTGTATACTTTCTGTATATTCAATCACTGTTTATTTAAATTCCCAGGTTAAATTTGTAAAGACTCTTTACATGTGTTCTCAGTGATTATCAGAAACTGTCAGCTTTGAGCTTGCTGCCATGTATGAGAAATCATCATGATTTATACTAAGCTGTGTGTGATCAGTGAAGTAATAATGAGAGTACATACAAGTAAATTGTCAAATTTTGCGAGGCAATTAGCCTCCTTTATCAATATTCAAAAGTAACGTCTCATACATAGAATATGAATCACCGGCAAAGTTACAAACTGTAACTGAGAACAATATAAAATGTCCCGATAATCACTTTTATAGAAGCAGTGAAAAATTATCTTGAAGTTGATGTCTATGAGCTGGTAACCCTGACATGCACATATAGGTGTGATGAGTAAGATAGACCATGTATGTGTAAACCAGTCAAACTATTACTGTGAAAAAAAGTAATATCTATATCTTTTGTTCTAGGACAGCCAATGTGTTTATTCACAAATGTGGCCTTGACCCTGGTGATAAGCTCATCCTTATTCTTCCAAGAGTCCCAGAGTGGTGGTTTGTTAATGTCGCAGCTATTAGAGCAGGTAACAGGATGTAATACTGAACTTTTGATGCCTTGTAAAGTTTGGTTTTGTGGATCATCATCAACATACCACTGTTGAATGTTAATACCCAGAGAAATACTACTGGAACCTCCATATATTGTGAATTTGTTAACTTTCATGGAGGAGAGGGAGTGTATTTTAATTTATTTTGTTGGTATTCATATAACAAACAGTTAAGTTAATATAATTGGACACATTGAGCGATATTTATCCAAGAAATCTTTTTTGAAAATATATGAAAATTGAGTCATGTGAAAAATACAGTATATTATAAAATGTAAATAGAGTTAATATGATAAAGCTTTCATAGGTCTTCATACAACCATATTGTTTTCACATATCCTTATGTTATATCATATACTTCATTATTTACAGGTTTGATACTGAGTGCTGGTACGGTGTTACTGCGACCCAATGACATCAAACACCGTGTCCAACTTTCGGGGGCCAAATGTATCGTGGCAGACAGACTATCTGTTGACAATATAGACAAGGTCAGTTATCATACTAACCATATCATTCACACAAGCTTATATAACCCAGCTCATGGTTGATGACATTGGTAACAATTATATCTTTGATTTCCTACAGATTGCAGACCAGTGCCCTTCATTGAAATGCAAAGTTTTTGTTGGCAGTAAGTCTGAAACAAGGTAACTTCATGTATAACACTGGATTCCATTTATTGTCATGCTAATTATTGTCACTTTTCTGTTAATATCACATCCTCTTAAATGGCATTGGTCACTATTGTAATCACCCTGTCTGTCTTTCTTAGTGTCTTGTTGTCCTACTATTTGTTCACAACATTTTTCCAGATGAATCTTAATATGTACAAGTACACTGCCTAGTGCCACAATTTTATTTCAAAGTGAAGATGATAAATTATTTTTATGTCATGGAATGCCATTTCCAATTTCATTCTACTCTAGGACCAATCAAGTACAAGATGTAGGATTGCATAGTCAGTAATATAATTTATTATCAGTGTATACTTGCAGGAACAATCCAAATCTGTCTATTTCTTATTGTAAAATCATAACGTTTCGAGGGGGGTTTATTTCAGTTGATTTTGCGGGGACTCATAATCCTTGAATGTATGTGTCAGTGAACAATTGTAATAAGTAAAAGTAGATTTAATCACCAATATCTATTATAAAATTGAATGACCACAGAATAGCATTTGTAGCTTAGGTAGTTTGACAGACGGTGAAATCACTGTCTAGTTATATTGGATAATAGTATGATATCCTCTTTCATCTCTTCATGTTGGTTCTGCTACCTATAGCCACTGTAGGTTGTTAAAAGCAAACTGGACGTTATTGTCTGGTACATTCTTTTTACGTATTGGTGAATACTGACTAATGACAAAAATTGATGAAATATATATAGATATAATGTAAATTCTGAAATAGTTACAGATTTAGGATGGTAAGTGTATTCTGTCTAGTCATCTAATGATCACCAGCGTACTTTACTACATAATGCTTACCCACAGGCCAGGTTGGCTGAACTTTGAAGATGTTCTGTCGAAAGCCAGTGAGGAATTTCAGGTATTTGTATAAACAAAATATAGATAGCATAAATTGGACAATTTCTTAATGGACAAAAGCGATGCATAAACATAGTTTTTCCTTTTTTACTAAAAATGTGAAATGGTCGCGAGTATATGATATGAGGTACAAGAACTAAAATTATGTATGCCTTCAGTAGTCTGAAATATTGTGTACCAGGTATCTGGACTAAAACTTGTGTAAAGATGCTCTTAGTGTGCAGTTTGAGCTTTCAGAAATTTGTTTCATCTTTCAAATGCAATGATAGAACAATACATAACATACCAATTCCCCAAGCTGCCTTTCCGCATCTTAAGAATGATGGTGTCAAGGATTTTTTTGTAACACTATATTTTTTTAGAGTGTTTTGAATGTAATTTTTACTGTAGCAGACAGAGAGAATTATTACCCAGTTAGACCGAAGTTGATAAAAATGCAAAAACAGGCCTAAATTACTGGTTTACTCTAATGAACAAAACATCAATGAAGTATCAGATAATGAGAATTAACATATTTAAGCTTGATTTATATTTAACGCTTTTTTTTCTATTTTTAGACAGTGAACTCTAGATTTGATGATCCAATGACAGTGTTTTTTACAAGTGGAACCACAGGGACTCCTAAGATGGCAGAGCACACCCATGGTAGCTATGGATACGGCAGCATCATCACAGCAAGGTAATTACCTAGTAAACTCTCCATTTCTACCATGTTTCAGGGATGGCTTGACACTTTAATATACTTTAACAATGCTTTTTGTAGATTGTCTTTTTACATTTGCATATTTAGGGTGTTACAATGGTGTGTTCTGGCCAATTGACCTGTGGTAATTGCCAGGAGGTCAAACATAAAACAGATATAGGTTGTACTCACAAACATGGGTAAAGCAATTAACATGTTACTAAATGGATATTTTTGTCAGAAATTTTTAATATATTCCTGTATATATTTTATTTATACAAAAACATAACGAAACCGTCCTATGGGGACACATAGTTATAAAGACACCTGGCTATTGTGGCCACCTGCCTGTTAGTGAATATATGTGTATATGACACCTGATTATTGCAACGCCTGAATATGAGGACACCTGACTATAAGGATGCCTGACAATATGCCAACATGTATTTAAAGACATCTGTCAATAGCGACACCTGTCCTTATGATAACTGTCTAACAGGATAACTGATTATAAGTAAACATGTACATGATGACAACTGCCTATCATAACACCTGTCCTAATGATACCTGTCTAAGAGGATAACTGATTATAAGTAAACCTGTACATGATGACAACTGCCTATTAGGAATACAATTGTAAGGAAACCTGTACATTGTTTGTGATGTCTTTAAGGGCACCTGTCTTTGAGTAAATTGTATATAATAACACCTGTTTATAAGGACCACTGACTGTAAGGAAATCTGTAAATTTTGAGACAGGTATATAATGACATTTGTATGTAAGAGATACTGACTATAAGGAAGCCCGTACATTGTATGTAATGACACCTGTCTATAAGAACTGATTGTAACAAAGCCTGTCTGTAATGAGACTGGTATATAATGACACCTGTCTATAAGAACTGATTGTAACACAGCCTGTCTATAATGAGACTGGTATATAATGACACCTGTCTATAAGGAGAACTGATTGTAACAAAGCCTGTCTGTAATGAGACTGGTATATAATGACACCTGTCTATAAGGACAACTGATTTTAACAAAGCCTGTCTATAATGAGACTGGTTTATAATGACACCTGTCTATAAGGAGAACTGATTGTAACAAAGCCTGTCTATAATGAGACTGGTATATAATGACACCTGTCTATAAGGACAACTGACTAGAATGAAATATGTATATTGTACATAATGATATTTGTCTATAAGGACAAAGGACTGTAAGGAAACCTGTCTATAATGACACCTGTCTATTGCAAGGACATCTGCCTAGGAGGACAAATAAGTACAAGGAAACCTGTATATAGTAAAAATTTTTTATATGGACACCCATTTATTAGGGCAATAGACTATAAGAAACTTGTCTATGAAAACATCTGGGTTTTAATAAACATGTATAATGACACCCGTCTACAGGGCACATGTCTGACTATAAGGAAACCTATATATAATAACATCCGTCACTATGACAACTGATTATAACAACACCTGGCTGTTAGGACACCTGGTTATAAGGAAACTTGGTTATAAGGAAACTTGTCCATAACAACATCCTATGATTATTTAACATTTTCTTTAATATTATCCTATAATGTTCTGCTTGTATTTCTGTCATCAATATTAATGCTGTTGACTATCATATTAATTGAACTGCACTCTACAAAAATTGTATTTTATGGTTACTCCTCAGCATTGTTTAATCATAACACAGATTTTCTCATATTTATACAGATATTTCCTACAATGTACTGATAAAGATGTTGTATGGAATATGTCGGACACTGGATGGGCCAAATCTGCCTGGAGCAGCCTGTTTGCTCCTTGGTTACGAGGCTCCTGTGTTTTTGCCCACAATACAGACAAGTTTGACCCTGTTATAGCACTCAGGGTAAGCCACTAGATATATTGCTCAGCACTCTTAAACTTGGTGAAACGTACAGTGAAGCTCACTTCTTTCGTGATCTTAAAATCTATAAGATTGTGTTTGTCAGTGACAAAACATTCACAAATTTAAATTGAAGTTTGTTGGGTTCCATGTTTATTGAGCTGATCCATTCAAAACCTTGTACACCTCATACAAACATGAGTACATATATATATATATATATTGTACAATCTTATCATACCATTTGGAAACTTGTCTTGATGAACAAAGTTAATATGTTGACAAATTTTGACAACCTTGATAGATTTGTATGGAGTTATCTATGTAGACATCTGTCTGTTTAAAAGTATAGAGTATGAATTTAATTAATTTTATTATAAATATTAATCAAGTTACCAGGTATATCATCTTATATAAATCACACTTGTTGGCCTGAATGGAGGGGGTCTTAGTGTGGGAGGAAAATTTAGTATCAGGAGAAAAGTCAATGTGTCTGTTGACCCTAACACGTATCTTTGATACCAAAATTATGGTGTAGGAGCTAGAGAGTAAGAACAGTTTATCTGGAAGACTTTACAATTTCCTTGTACTAGGTAATTCTAGTATATTGTATTTATACATGTACACAGTATTTGTCATAGTGAGATTCAGCAGTTTGGTGTAAATATTATTTGAGGAAATGTTTACCTTTAAACAGCAGTTGAAAACTGTTTTTGTAGAATTTTGGATGTCTGTTTCTGTGTAGGAAACACATTTTTTAAAGCTTACCAATACAATCTTCAATCACTGTTTTTGTTAAAGAAAAATGCTAGTTACTATACTTGTATGTTTTTGGCAGTGCCCATCAGTATTTAGGTTGATTATTAAGCAGTCTATCTGTGAAGCATTGTGTATGTAAGGAAAACATTTACATTTTTATCATTTTTTGAATTCTAGATCTTGGAGAAGAAGCCAGCCATCAGTGTGTTTTGTGCTGCTCCCACAGCTGTGAGGTTTCTAGTACAGCAGCCACTGAATCAATACAAGCAGGGAAAGTTACACTGTGTTAGTGCTGGAGAACCTGTGGTTTGTAGATACTCAGTGTTACAGTATACTTCATTGTACCTCTGCAACAAAGTTAGGGTGTACACTGCAATCAACCCAACTATCTGTCCATCTGTCTGTTCAATTGTCTGTCTATTCGCTCAGTTTTCCATAGATTTTTTTTTTATCTGAAGTACCAATACAATATTGTTTATGGAGTTATACCCCCTGAAACGATTTTGCTTTCCACTTTTGAGAGTTAAGCCACTCTTCTTTGAAAAATGAACACATTTTTGTCTGGCTATGGATTCGCTCATTTTTCAATCAAATCTTTTTTATATTTTGTGTTAAGTGCTGGTATTTCAACCTTTGTTTTTTTAGAAAGTTATTCCCCATTACTGGTATTAAAAAATGAACCCCTTTTTATATGGAATTGTACTTAATTAAATGATATTGCATCACAGTCTAACCCTCTTTAGAAGAATTTTTTTCCATTATGCATTGTCGTGCATCCTTAAACAATTTTGCATTTTGACACTTTCTTGGAAAATTATGCCTCTTTTGAGACAAATACATTGAAACTTGATGTACAGAAATTTTCTGGTGTGTGGTATCTATCCTGTACAGTTGCGTATGGTATCCACCTCATAGACTTATATTCATGGTTACAGAAACTTTGTAAGCTCGATAGTTGTACAAATGCAGTATAAATAGCAGTTTTTTACAAAGCAGGGTGTCACCACCTCAGGTTTTGAACATTTGTCGTTGTTTGGGCTGTTTTTGTGAAGTCTCAGGCTGTACATAATTGGTATAACTAGGTGACTGCTAAGCTTTCACCTCTGGACAAATTTTGACATAAAAATGACATATACACATTTATGTATATATATAAATATATTTTTTATATTACAAGTCCTTCTCATATAAAGTGACAGCAATGCATAGTAAATATTTCAGTTAATTGTTTTTTCTTCTTTTTTTTTTTTATTTCCTGTGCTGCAGAACCCTGAGCTGTTGCAGGAATGGAAATCAGGGACAGGACTTGACCTGTATGAGGGGTACGGTCAGACTGAAACGGTATGGGCAGTTGATTATTAAAAGTATGAATTGTAAGCAATATGCTGAATCACATTTTTCATGTTTATGGGGCCTAAAAGGAATAAATATGTATCTGCATGAAATACATGTACAGTGTATGTCATTGATAAACCAGCTACATGTATGCTGTTCTCAAACAACTCTTGTTACCTTACTTGGTCTGTAAACTTTATCAAATTTTCATTTATCTTCAAGAACTGAAGGATTAAGTAGATTTAGACCAAATTTTGTGTAGTGCACTTGAGTGTACAGGACTCAATTTGTTTAAACAGTGGGTCATAGCCTCAAAGAGTTTTAGGGACAGGCCCATTAGGGGAAATAAAAATCAATCTCCAGATCCCTTTATAATATCGGAATGATTTTTTTGGTCTAAAGCATCCTTAGGTGAAGGGGACTGAACTTTGTATCATCCAATGGTCAGACCTGTTGGGTCCATACGTTTTGATAATGCAGTTTTGACCAAACAAAACCAGGAGAGCAATGCACCTAGGCCCTATTGGCCTCATTTCATTTGATGCATCCAAAAATATCAAATGGTTAACCATTTGAGCATGCAAGAGTGTTCTTTACTTTTCTTAATAACAGATATAAGGTGACACTATATTCACACTGATCAAAGATGTCTGAATTTGTTTTCCTTCAATTTCAGATGAATGTTAAACATTTCATGTGGTAATTGTTTGTTGGATGAATCATGTATACTGTATAACAACACATAACCACTGAATTAACTTGATCCCATGTCACTTTCAGACCTTATTATGTGGCACCTATCCTATTATGGAGAACAAACCGGGATCGATGGGGAAGGCTGCACCCGGGGTCGATCTGAGGGTAGGTACATAATAGTACACCTGTAAAATGGCAAAGTCAACCAGCTGAAATATAGGGTATCTACCTGTTGAGCAGCTGTTCAGAGCTGTCCTTTGTACAAATTACATCTGTTCATGAAAAATTTCCCAAATTTTTTTTGTATTACTTATTTTAATGTAGCTGCACCAGTGATACACTGTAGCTTCTTGTCAATTATTTTTTGTAGATTGTGGATGATGATGGAGTTGAATTACCACCTAACACTGAGGGCAACATTGGAATCAATACCAACGACTACCGTCCTATAGGACTCTTCTCTGGCTACGTGGTAAATGTTTTATAGAGTTATATAAAAGTGCAATACATTGCTGATAAATTGTAGCTTACTATGTACTAGGTATATAATTATGAACATCTCCATAACCCATTAATCTGTATGTTTTGCTAGGGAGACCCAGATCGGACAGCTTCTGTATTCCAAGGAGGATACTATTTGACAGGGGATCGTGCAAAGATAGACGAAGATGGATATGTGTGGTTCATTGGCCGAGCTGATGATGTCATCCTTACATCTGGGTAAGCGAGAATCTTTCTGTAGACTGATAAATAACATACAGACCAAACATTGTGATTTGGTCTGTGCACTTTTCTTTCCTCTTTAATATAAGGAAAAACTTGATATGGTTAAAATATTACTGTACTATACATGTTCTAATGCACCTGATTATTTGATATTTGAGAATAACCAACCCTCTTGAATCTGTGAAATAGGTACAGGATAGGGCCATTTGAGGTGGAGAGTGCCCTGATAGAACACCCATCTGTGTTAGAATCTGCTGTGGTTAGTAGTCCAGACCCAGTCCGAGGAGAGGTAAGTAGATATAGATTTTTATGACCTTTAGGAAGTATTTTCAGAAGATCACAACATGCGTGTGATTTGCTTGCAAATTTTTATTATACCAGCTTAACACATGAAGTAAAAATACAATTTGTGTTTTGAAATCTCGAAAACTGAAGTTACAAGAAACATGTAAAATAAAAGTAAATTTCTTCTTCATTTGATTTTTCTGATGATGGCTCCTATCTGTATAATCTTGCTTGCTATTTCTCTGTAAACATATGCCATATTTTTATTACTTGTTGACCTTAGCCGTGATAGTGTTTTAAATGTTAGACTGATCCGATGAAAAAGACATTTGATTGAAGTAGAATACCTCTGTATACAGTGTATAGTTGTAAATAATAACGCAAACAAAATGTAACTTCCACACGTGTATATGTTACTTTGTTGTTAGTTCTCAATATTCAAGTTCTAGACTGCTTTAAAGAACAAGATAGTTTTCAGGTAACCATTTTAAATGTTGACTTTGCGAATTCATTTTCTTTGGATGTATTGGAGGGTCCGTTTTCAAAGTTTGTACCTAGACTGCTCATTATAGTTATTTTTCCTATCAGTATGACATATTAAAGAAAGCAAAAGAAATTCAGCCCGACCTGAAAGTAATGGACATTTGTTATTAAGTGCTCAGATCACTTTTGCATCGGTAAATTTTATGTATTGCTTTCAACAATGGTACATCAGTATTGTCAATATCCACTAAGGTTTAAAACAAGGGTTCTTTGTTGTTGGTAATTATGTAAAAACTGATGTAAATTATTTGACATTACAACTGATACAGGTAGTGAAAGCATTTGTCACATTGACTGGAGATTACCAAACTGCTGACCGAAATAAGCTGACTAAAGAACTTCAGGAACATGTCAAAACGGTGACTGCCCCCTACAAATACCCGAGGAAGGTAAGATCATTTGTGATACTGCCCCATACAAATACCCAAGGAAGGTAAGATCATTTGTGATACTGCCCCATACAAATACCCAAGGAAGGTAAGATCACTTGTGATACTGCCCCATACAAATACCCAAGGAAGGTAAGATCATTTGTGATACTGCCCCATACAAATACCCAAGGAAGGTAAGATCATTTGTGATACTGCCCCATACAAATACCCAAGGTAGGTGAGATCACTTGTGTTACTGCCCCATACAAATACCCAAGGTAGGTAAGATCACTTGTGTTACTGCCCCATACAAATACCCAAGGAAGGTAAGATCACTTGTGTTACTGCCCCATACAAATACCCGAGGAAGGTGAGATCACTTGTGTTACTGCCCCATACAAATACCTGAGGAAGGTAAGATCACTTGTGTTACTGCCCCATACAAATACCCAGGGAAGGTAAAATCACTTGTGTTACTACCCCCTACAAATACCCAAGGTAGGTAAGATCACTTGTGTTACTGCCCCATACAAATACCCGAGGAGGAGAAGACCACTTGTGTTACTGCCCCATACAAATACCCGAGGAAGGTGAGATCACTTGTGTTACTGCTCCATACAAGTACACAAGGAAGGTAAGATCACTTTTGTTACTGCCCCATACAAGTACACAAGGATGGTATGCATTTTATGGTATAATAGAATCGTATTGATGATCCACAATGTATCATTGTACCATATTACAATATATTCTGTAATACTATATTGTGTTTAATGTATTTTACAGATTGAGTTTGTGGACCAACTTCCCAAAACTGTGAGTGGAAAAATACGACGAGTGGAGTTACGTAACAAAGAATGGGGTCATGAACCTTGATTTTTTTTATACTGACATTTTATTTTGTTTTAATTAGAAAAACAAGTAAACAGAAGATTATATTGTGAGATACATATCGCTAAATAATCATATTTGATTCCCAAAATGTAGGTTAGTCCCAAAGGATAGCATTGGTGATGCCAGCTGTTGCACCCATGTCTATTACAAGGTCATTAGATCTGACTTTAGATGACACTGGTGATGCCAGCTGTTATGCTCATGTCTATTACAAGGTCATTAGATCTGACTTTAGATGACACTGTGATGCCAGCTGTTACACCCATGTCTATTACAAGGTCATTAGATCTGACTTTAGATGACACTGGTGATGCCAGCTGTTACACCCATGTCTATTACAAGGTCATTAGATCTGACTTTAGATGACACTGGTGATGCCAGCTGTTACACCCATGTCTATTACAAGGTCATTAGATCTGACTTTAGATGACACTGGTGATGCCAGCTGTTACACCCATGTCTATTACACCCATGTCTATTACAAGGTCATCAGATCTGACTTTAGATGACACTGGTGATGCCAGCTGTTACACTCATGTCTATTACAAGGTCATTAGATCTGACTTTAGATGACACTGGTGATGCCAGCTGTTACACTCATGTCTATTACACCCATGTCTATTACAAGGTCATTAGATCTGACTTTAGATGACACTGGTGATGCCAGCTGTTACACCCATGTCTATTACACCCATGTCTATTACAAGGTCATTAGATCTGACTTTAGATGACACTGTGATGCCAGCTGTTACACCCATGTCTATTACAAGGTCATTAGATCTGACTTTAGATGACACTGGTGATGCCAGCTGTTACACCCATGTCTATTACACCCATGTCTATTACAAGGTCATTAGATGTGACTTCTACTCAGGAATTTTAAGGTTAAGGAGATTTTACATCACTGTCATTGCTCAACATATATATATATATTATATACAGGTATGGATCTGTAAAATCGGGCTATTTTTGTTTTTTACAATATGAAATTAATTCATACATATTTTGATATCTGGTATTACAATTTCTATGCAAAGCAAATGTGAACATTATAATGTGGTTTACATTTTTTTAAATAATTTTACATGAAGTGTTGTGATTTTTGTACAGTCATTTCTGTTCAGCATTAGATTGTATTTAATCAGGGCCTGATCACTGTAAACCACTACAGACATAGTCATGTTCACTATGGACAAGCAATAGATTGTATTTAATCAGGACCAGATCACTGTAAACTACAGACATAGTCATGTTCACTATGGACAAGCAATAGATTGTATTTAATCAGGACCAGATCACTGTAAACTACAGACATTGCCATGCTCACTATGGTTGAGCTATAAAGATTAGTTGGAATGCCATATTAACACTATATAGCTGTGATTAATATACTGGTATACTGTGATGCTTATGGAAATTTTTGCATTAGAATGTATTACTTACATAATCAATCCCATCATTTATATAAAGCCTATACATGCATGAGTATATACATACTGGTTTTTCTGATGTAGGAAACATTACCTAAAATCTATCAACTGTCTTGTTTCTTGTTTTACATAGCATTTGTATGATGTTTATAACTGTCGATTTAATTTTCTAAATCAGAAAGTTTACACAATTTATACTGCAATTGGCTTTTATATGTTATATTTGAAACAATTTTATAAGATATATGTAAATATATTCTTTACAAGCCTGACTCTTGCCTTGTTATATGTACATCTTGCTACTCTCTAATCTGCCATCATTACAATTCTTGTTATCACTATTTCCTGAGAAGTGGATGGATATTTCTTAAATTTTTTAAGAATTTTCCCGGTGGTCCTTAGGCGTGCACTCTTGATTTCATGGTGATCAGAAAAACAAATGGCTGACAGATGACCATATTGGATTTTGACTATTTAGATTTGTTATCGGCGTTTCTGTTGAAGAACTTCTCAACTTTCATGTATATGTGTAGGCTCCCTTGGTCCCTACAATGTAGTTGTGCCCCTGTGGTACAATATGGATTTTTCTCAGATTTCGTGTCTGACAGGCATCTTAGACTTTGACAATGAAAGTTTTATAATGGCTATTTCTGGAGAAGTATTGAATGAATCTATCTCAAACTTCATATTAAGGAATTTTCAAATTCCATATAATTAAGAGGAAAGAAGAGAACACAAGGGAAACGATCTAACTTTTAAAGAACAAATAAAGATCAGAAGATGGTTAGCGCCAAGATTCATCTGGGATCTCTTCTCTTAAATGTTTGAAAGACGTAACATAACGTAATTTAATACAATGTACAAATATCCTTTACAAGGACAATAAAACCAAATATGCCTGTTTGATGATGGGAACTGAGCTTAGATTGCTGTGATAGTCGAAGTGAGACGCCATGTACGACGAGAAAAAGTCACTGAAATAAATCCTAAGAAGGATACTGTCTGTCAATGTTCATAAATTCATTCCAGATGAACTAAAACTTTGTATACGTGTAGTTGTTAAGGAGCTCCATGGAAACAGTCAAACTACTATTCGATCGGCTTCAGCAACAGGTATCTTGTCTTCAAAACAATACGACTAGTGTACATACTGTTAGTTAAATTATCTGTCTTATTGTACTTCCGGATGCTACATATGTTTTCTTATCTAGAATTTAAGACGAAAAACTAGATATTCTTTCGCACTTTCTGGAATATGCTTCTGATAACTATTCATAAAAATATATCAATGGTTTGCTTTTGTGTGCGTGGTAGAATAATATTACTAGTCCTCCGGAAGTCTTTAACAAATCTTTCTTCTCACTAGCAACACAAACTCTGATAATGGTACAAGTCGTATCTAAAACTATACATCCCCTGTATAGCACAGACAGCTAGACCATAAATCAGTGGACGATATCTTCCTAACATACAAGTTGAAACACTAGATATTTGATATAATTAACAACGATACGTTTTGTCATTTTTAGCTCACCTAGTCCAAAGGACGTCGCCGTCGTTCGTCAACTTTTTCTACAAATCGCTACTCGTCATGAACGTCTGAAAAGATTTTGACCAAATTTGATCAGATGCATCACTGGGAGAAATAAAGAAGAATAACAATTTTTCAATAGCAGAAGTGGAACAAAAAGAGGGGCTATTGTTTCACATATAAATGACTCGTGACGTTGCAATAGCTATCATAGCGCGGATATTTTCTTAATGGGTAACCGTTTCAATCACTCGCTGATTGGCCAAGTGAAGTATATGAATATTCAACCAACATGTTAGATACTAATATTTAATCAAGGGGCCAAGAATACGTATAGATGGTTCTCGTTCAAATTGCTTCTAAGAGGTATAGACTCCAAACTTTGTACTAGGAACATATTTTCCAATCCCCCGCTACTCACACTATACTACAGCTTGCTCATCTCGATGTTTGTTATGCCTGGGTATTGCGATATGTTTACTGCGTGATATTCAATGAATATGACTCTGGAAATGGAAAATACCTTGTTAAGTCCTTTTCACGCACTGGGTTGTGTAGTAGCCAAAGTTTTGCATTCACAAGTAATGAAATTTGTTGGAACTTAACATCTATTGAAAGGGTTTTGTAGAAATGAGAACGCACTGCATTATTTTGAAAGTAGTTCAACACTTAAAAGAAATTATGTTGGATCAATGCTTTTGTTTAGAGTTTCCAAACAGATAATTCCTTGTTCTATATTTAGAAATAGTCCACTGCATTGTGAAGGAGGATTCTGTGGAATCTTGCACTGGTTTCAGTATCCACAACTACATATCTCAACATTCGTGTTCAACTTTTAATACCACTGTACCTCTGATCATTAAATCAAATTATTTGTGCAAACACGTGTATTTATTTCATAATCGACGTCTAGAATGCTGTGTCCCAACATACCAGTCATCAAAATATCCAACGCCGGTTGTTGGCACGAGAGAAAACTACTACATATTTGATATAACTGTATTTGTAAGTTTCGGCTAACCAATGATAACAGAAAAATATGTGTTACCTGTAGACTATAATCAACGCCGAACACAGATGCCATTATTTGTACCAATCCACGAATAATCACAACTAGTATACAAGTAAACCTACCCGTATTTGATCAGCTGTAATGGATTCACAATGGGAAAAAAATGGGTTTCGACATCGAGAAGGAAACTCGCCCACTGGAAATATAAAAAATAAATAATTAAATAAATAAAAAAACTTTCTGCGTCAATCTCTGCTTAAATTTGCACCCATGCCCAAAATAACTACGCATTGTCGTTATCTTTATAATTTTACAAATGTAGGTCTATAAATGAAAAAGGTCATTTTGGTTGGAAATAACGGCACAGACAATGTTCAGAATCAAAAATACTGAATTGCCAATACTATACAATTGGCAATGGTTGCTTGAAAATTGGTGGTGCAAAGCCACAATTGCTGGAGTTATTTCCCATGGCGACCCAGAGCAAGGGAGCCTACTCTGATGTGTTACGTACATGTGGATTTCACAACAAACGTGTCAAAGTTTCTTTCGGTGCTTTCTAATAATATTTAGCTGTGTTATCACTGTCATCTGCTTGATCGATTTATTGTGATATTTTAACGTTCCGTGAAGGTACACTAGTACAACTATTTCGTTATAATGGAACGAGAAATGTAAAATGAAAGTACACTGCATGTGTTAGTATGCTGACAAATGGACCCCTCTCCCGTGGTGTCTCGGTAACAATCCAAGTATGGCTAACGATGATCAGATTGAAGAACTAGAGGCTCTTAGAGCCATCTACGATGCAGATTTTACAGGTAACGTGTTTAACGACTATAAATAGACAACCTTGACGTTCCAAGGGTGTGCATACCGTCCTCGCTGAAAAGTTACATCTGGAAAACGTTACGATTTTATTACACAGTAAAGTGTTCCGCTCGTGGTAGACAAAATATAATATCACTACTTACTTTTTCTCAATCTGAAAGACTCGGAAAAATTGTCTATTTTTTCCACAATTCGAGGCAAAATTGGTTGTTTTGATCCTCTTGATCTGCAGTTCGAAGGTTAGTTTGGATGCATGCTCTAAATCCAAAGATGTTTTGAAGTTTTTTGTTAAAACATTTTCAAGTGCAGAGGTTGAGAGTCCGTACTGCGATTCTAGAACGATATCCATTTGATATATACTGACATCATATGTTACTGTAATTTTTAATACACTTGTACATATATGTTTGTGAGGTTCAGAAATCCTACGTAGGACATAAACTGTTGAATAACAAATTGAACGTAGTGTGTGATTGGGTAGCATATTGCATACATGTATATTGAATTACTGACTGTAATGGTGAGACTAATTCTGTCATATATATAGCAAAAAAGTCATAATGTATGCTGTACAGAATCCAGGTCATTTAAGCTACAAACCATATTGTAAATATATGTTATTTCTATAACGTATAAATACTGTTGTACAAACAATGTATTTGCTGAACTTTCTCAATGTAAAGAATATTAATATAAACATATAGTTTTATCTGAAACACAAAGTAACATTACACTGCAAAAATAGTAATGTTAGTGCTACACATATGTGATAGTAATGTTAGTATTACACATATGCAATGGTAATGTTTGTACTACACATATGTGATGTAATGTTTGTACTACACATGTGATGGTAATGTTAGAATTACACATATGTGATGGTAATGTTTGTACTACACATATGTGATAGTAATGTTTGTACTACACATATGTGATGGTAATGTTAGAATTACACATATGTGATAGTAATGTAGTACTACACATACGTGAGAGTAATGTTAATACTGCACATATACGAATTATTTTTAATGGATGTATCCATCGGTTTTGGATTGGAGGTTTACACAAAAAATTTTCACTGGTTATTTAAATTCAGTAAAACCACACTAGGGTATTTAGATACGAAAGAAAATTTTATCTAGATATGCCTGATTTTTGTTGTTTCAGAGTTGACGTCAGATCCACCCTGTTTTATGATAAAACTTACAGACTTGGTCGTACAACTTTCAGGTGAGATCTGTCTTTAATCTAGCTACTGAAAAATCTAAATTAATTCCATATACAACAGAAGCGATGGGGGGGGGGGGGGGGGGGGGGCGAAACATAAGACATTCTTATCGTTTTAATTCATTACATTGTGTTACCTCTGAACTAGCGATCGTATGATTTTGTACTGTTACATATCAATCATTCCTATAGATTTTAGCGATATAATATTTGAGAAATTTACTTCAATATAATGTACATTTTCCTACAGAAGTGGGTGGGTAATCCGTTACTTCTGTTACCGAAGGATTAGTTTTGTTGGCATGTTTGATAAAGACTTTTTTTGTTTTTCTAATTGTCAGGTCAGGTGAACATCAAGTTTACATTACCAAACGAGTATCCAGCAGTAGTTCCGATGTACGACCTGCCCATGAGATCGAGGGTATTGACGCCTAACCAGGTGGCTGGTATACTGGAGGAACTCCGAGTTTGTGTAAGATGCTATTTAGATATGTCCGAATAAGTATGCCTCTAAGTTGATAGTATACATCTGGATTTCGTTTTTAATTGAGTTTAATTAAAGCTATGATTCAATTGAGTCAGTACAAGCTGGTCAGCCTCTGGACCAAAGTTGATTGAAAATTATGTTCAATAAGTAAATAGAGCAGAATTACAATATGACAGATCTGTCATCCTTCTACATAATATCCCTTGTTTATCAGTACAACAAAATATGATTTAATGGGTTTTTTTTTCTAGTTAACAATAAGTACAGCCAAGTGAAAATATAAAAAAAAAATATTATATTAATGCTACTTTCCACTTTACAGGCAGAAGAAAACGTTGGCATGCCTATGATATACAGTCTGATGGATGCCGCCCAACGCTGGATCAACGAAAACGTTACACAGGATACCGACACTGCCCAGGTCAGCAGCAACAGCACGTGTTGTTATTCTGGTAAATGTATCATGACCAGTCAGGCTACAACATTGTCTGTATGAAAGGCATACAGATCATCTAGGCACCTCGGTAAAAGCTCACAGTCGTTTGGCTAATTATCTGCATTTAGAGATCAGGAGGGGTTACATAGAGACCACTCTGATCTCCCAGAGTTACTGCTCTTTGTGTCACTCTTTAAGTATGGTACAGCTGTAAGCTTGACAGCCAATGGGAACCGGGAATGCATTTAAATTATTTTCAGCCAATTTACATTTATTGTACTGCTCAATAACTATCATCTTCATCAGTGATACCTAGTTATGTCCAGAACAGGTCCCTTGATATTTTAGTATATGTACTGATTGGATCTAGGTAACCACGATTAGAATACCAAATCCCCCAATGTCAGATAACCAAGGTAAGTTTGTGTAGGGAATATATATACACATTGCTGTATTAGGATGCTTTCTCAAAGTTCCATGTAATTTATATTCTGTAGCTTGTTTGACTTGACATGCAATACGTCATTCACAACGATGTCAATATTGTATGACAACTGATCATTACAATTTGGTAACACGTTATACCTTAAATGTCTTGTCATTTTAACTGTGATAGGAGGAAGAGGAGGTGGTGGAGGAGGTGACCTTACATAAAGTTAAATTGGAGGAACCCAAAGTAAGCGGTGGCAGATGGGAATATGTCATTGGACTGGTGGTAAATGTCGTAATTTAATCTGTCATATTTTTGTAGCATTGCATGATAATGGACACATGTTTTATAATAAGTTTTATTACTGTAAAATGGTTACCAAGTTACATATACATTTTTAGGGGAAACCTTCAGCAGGGAAATCCACGTTTTTCAATGCAGCCACCACTGTAGATTTAGCGAAGACTGGAGCACACCCCTTCACCACCATAGAACCAAATATTGGCAAGGCGTTCTACTCCATAGACTGTCCATGTGAAGGATTGGGCAAGTTGTGTGACGCAGGTAACCATTTGTGGCTATGACTGCTCTAACACATGGGATTGATCTCCGCTAGTACATGTTAACATAGTCTGACTCTTTCCCCCAACTGCCAATGCATTTTGACCAATATTTCCTATTTCTTGTTTGTTTGTTAATGAACAGCACATGGTCATAACTTCCGCGGGAAACGCCATGTGCCCGTATTGCTGAAAGATGTCGCGGGGCTGGTTCCGGGAGCATGGGAGGGCAAGGGGCGAGGAAACAAATTCCTCAACGATCTATTGGACGCTGACGTGCTGATCCACGTTATTGACGCTTCGGGCACAACCAATGAGAAAGGAGAGGAGAGTCAAGGTTACGATCCAGCTAATGATATACATTGGCTTTACCAGGAAATCCAGTAAGAACTCTCGCCCATAGGAAACATTTTTGTACTATAACTCCTACTTTTGGCAGATTTTTTACCTTCTGTCTCACCAGTCTTTAAAACATCAGGCTCATGGATACTTAAAAGTGACTTAAATCAAGTCAGTTCTGTTGTTATAATTCCTTTACTTGAAGGTTTCCAAAATAATTTTTGAATGTTCGCGGGCACTTTCTTTCAAGACGCTATAATCTCGTTTCACATTTTCATTTTTTTATCGCGAAACATCCTATTTCATGTCATAGAGTATAGTTGATAGTCATGGAATGTCAAATAATACTATGTAAGGATATATATGATTTTCAGTCAATGGATTTTCCAAAACGTTTGGAGTAGATGGGATTCAATCGTCAAGCGTCCCTCAAAGCTGATCGACATGTTTACGGGTTACCATGCCAACAGAGCTACTATTCACGCGGCCTTACATAACGCTGGAATAGGAGATAGGTAAGGAATGACAGAGGAAAAACCTGTGTCGCTAGGATTATACATGATGCAGATTTTGTTTAGTATATGAATGCTATTTGTGCGGTTGTGACTTTTCCCTGTATTTCGTATCATCATCGCATTATGCCACTTAATGAACTTTCCCTCAATGGAACATGCTCAAAGCAGTTGGTCATTGTTCCACGCCCGATCATAGTGAAATCGAGGCAGCAAATTTAGACCTGTCGATGATCTAATTTAACTTTGTACTGAACGACTCGTCAAAATTGCTCAGTAACCAATACCAAAGTTCATAGCCGAAACAAAAAAATACAACTTTCGGAAGATTCTTCTATTAACTGTTCCTGTCCAAATACACCCAACAGCACTATGGGCTGTTCGAATTAGGTCAACGTTTACTTTGAAACACAAAGTGTAAAATATGGCGATGTGTGAACACGAATAAGGGAAGTATATTGCGATAATTCACTCCACTATAAGATAAAAAAACTCCCACAAAAAGTTTGGGAAAGGCTTAGAAAAGAGAATGTTTTCATTAATTTCTCTTAAGATTAATAGCAAATATGCCTTCTCTAAATCTGACATTTCAAATGAATTCATAAACAATTTTGTATTCGTTCTGGAACGAAAAGGACCATTTTTGAACTCAAGGATTCTCTTAAAAAATAACGCGATATTTTGCAGTTTCAAACGACATTCCATATCGATTCTTTAAAAACATACTATAATAAAGTATCAATTATCTTTTTAAATTTTCAATGACGTGTATACAACTGGCAACGTGCCGGAATCATGGAAGGAAACTACTATTATTCACATTTTAAAGCCATGCAAAGAACCAACCTGGTGACCTAAACAAGCATTGCCCCACCTCTTTAACAAGTTCAAAGCACTTGACAGAACTGTAAAACTCAGCCTGATTTGGTTCTTGTTAGCCAATGACATTTTGACATCAATACAAAGATATTTCAACAGAAGGCTGACTACGCTCCCGAGTGTATGGGTCAGCACGTAATACTTGCTAGTAGATGCTGAACCCAATTAAGATCCAAGGGCTGGTTTGCAGTAGAAGACTTCAACGTGGAGTTCAATTAATTATCTCTCAAAGATAGGAGAACAAAACTTCCACTCCAGTTTGCAGCTCGACTGAAATCAAACCCTAAAAATCATGCTTTTGATCAAGTATTCTACACAAACTATGAAAGATATTTTCAACCAAAATGACAAAATGATTCCAATGTTTGACTTTCGAGTCGAAGAATATCTTCATGATCTAGATATTGACTTTCCAAACATAGTCTGAAATTAAATTGCTACTGCACAACCCAGGACTCTGAAACGACTCAAAGTTGACTTTCCATTGCATGATCATGGCCAGTTGACCACAATTAGGGATGCATTGCGAACTTTTCTCAACTTCTATCGAAGTGTCCTTTACAACCTTGTACTATATTTACACTGTCGGTTTAAAAGACAGGAAACGAGTTGCAACAGCGTGCTGTTGTAAAAACTATATTTTCCACTCATCATCCTGTTGATGCTCCCATATTTATAGCGGAAGTCTGTACGCAGCATTTGGTGTGCGAATATATCGAAGATTATTGTGCTTAAAACGTAATCGTGTGCTCAGACTCGCTTTTTGTCTTAAAAAGTATAAAGTCACGTGACTTAAATAACCATTATAAGAAACTTGATACTTTGATGAATGATGTTTCAAAACCTAGTTGGATAAGATTCCTCAGGATTCTGGGACTCGTTGGAATTCTCGTGAATATAAATGCTAATAGAGGAGCTAGACGCTATTAAACTGTCATATACTACTGACTGATGCACTCAAAGATAAATGGGCAGCAAATATGGTCTCAAGAGGCTTGTACTCCTTCCTAAACGGTGTAATCCATGGTTGGTTCCGAACCTAGCATATCTACCTTGACCATTCATTTCTTTTACGGCATGATGACCCACCCATTAATGTTTAAGGTTTCATGCTTACACTGGAACGTGTTTTTATTGACTGGTCAGATTTTTTACGTATTCTTAACGAGCATTTTCTCCTCATTGAAACTCTATCAAATTTTGAAATACATGAGAGATGTTGATATTTTTTCAACAAAATATGAACCATACCGGTGACGACTAGACGTGATAACCTCTGGTTTCTTGTTTTATCCAACAAAACGCTTAATTTTAATGCTTTGTTATTCTTATGTACAATATGCTATCCTTGTGTTTTAATGGTACAATGTTTTATTTAAACATTTCTTCCCATATGTTTCAGTAGTTTCAAGTAGTTTGGGCCAAAATAAGTTTCTGCGTCGACAGGTCGTTAGACACTTATCAAAATCAAAATAAATCAAAGGTTTAGGATATCACAACCTCAAAAAATCAAATGAAGGCCACAGCAGATGGATTGCGGAAGTCATGGTAAAGGAAGGAGAATCACAATTTCAGGGTTTCTCAGGTTTTCCCCTTAAAAAACACGAGGAAAACAGTTCCAACTTTCCTTATAAACACACTGAGACCTCCATGGAAACATTGAGGGATTGATACAGTCAGATTGTGGTAATATTTACAGGGAGCTTGGCGCTATAGCTGGATGGAAGGAATCGACTCTGCACCAGATTGTGGACCACTTCCTGGGACTTCGGTTCCCCATGTTACTGGTCCTGAACAAGGCAGACAAAGCAGAGTCCACTGCAATTATCCATAGGTAAAGTTACGTATCACGTGACATCTCAACATTCCTCTTCCGCTTGTGACGTCATAGCTATAGCAATTATCTTTCGCATCCTATAAAACCCTATACATGTAACTATATACGATTTTTATGATTTAAAAATGTACTTTTATTCCATTTTTAAATGTTTGCAGTAAGTGTAAAATGAAAATAATTGTTACTAACATTCTTAACCATTATTCAATGTAATAAACAGAATATCTCATTCGTTTCGTTACAAGTTATTTCATGAAACGGGTCATTAAGTTTTTATTTTAACTGGGCTAAATCTTTTATGAAACGGAAACTCTTGTTAGATCCAATATTTTGAAGAAAAGAATGTTGTAACAATGTTTTTCAATTATTCATTTATTAATCTCAAATACAAACAGTGTAATTGAACGATGTTTTTCCTCGTAGACTTCAGACAGACATGACCGACTTGAACTTTATAGCAGTTAGTGCACGGACGGAATGTATGCTCCAAAAACTATCCAGAGAGGGTATTGTGCAATATGACTACGGAAGTGATGAGTTCCAGCTGGATACTCCTGACACACACCGGACTATGGCAGAATTACAACGAATAACCTCCGACATCTTCCATAGGTGAGATTTCGATGTTATCTCAATGTTTAATGTTTTGTTTTCATTTTTCATTTTGCATTAAATCATGTTTCATCAAACTTTTTAAAAATTAGTACGGTGATTCTCCTTAAACTGTCCAATATCTCCCACGTGTTTCTGTTGTATCGAAGACTGGGGATTTAACGTGTTGAGATCTAACGTGCATGTACAGATAATTCCGACTGAACACTAATGATGCTTACACTTAAACGACGACCAGTACTGATATTTACACTAAAACGACCAGTACTGATACTTACACTAAAACGACCAGTACTGATACTTACACTAAAACGACCAGTACTGATGCTTACACTAAAACGACCAGTACTGATACTTACACTAAAACGACCAGTACTGATGCTTACACTAAAACGACAAGTACTGATACTTACACTAAAACGACAAGTACTGATACTTACACTTAAACGACGACCAGTACTGATACTTACACTAAAACGACCAGTACTGATGCTTACACTAAAACGACAAGTACTGATACTTACACTAAAACGATCAGTACTGATACTTACACTAAAACGACCAGTACTGATGCTTACACTAAAACGACAAGTACTGATACTTACACTAAAACGACCAGTACTGATACTTACACTAAAACGACCAGTACTGATGCTTACACTAAAACGACCAGTACTGATACTTACACTAAAACGACCAGTACTGATGCTTACACTAAAACGACCAGTACTGATACTTACACTAAAACGACCAGTACTGATACTTACACTAAAACGACCAGTACTGATGCTTACACTAAAACGACGACCAGTACTGATACTTACACTAAAACGACCAGTACTGATGCTTACACTAAAACGACCAGTACTGATGCTTACACTAAAACGACCAGTACTGATGCTTACACTAAAACGACCAGTACTGATGCTTACACTAAAACGACAAGTACTGATGCTTACACTAAAACGACCAGTACTGATGCTTGAATTGAGCAACTCGCGAGGTATTAAAAATGAAAAAATGGCATCAACTGAAATCTAGACCTTCTGACATTAAAACGACCACGTGTCTTCTACACTTGTATCTTGTTTAAAACAAAATAGTTTAAATAAATGGAAATATTTCACAGCATTTTTATCCCTATATATTTTCCTGACATTTTTTCTTTGAAGCGTTTACATCTGATGTGAATAAAAAACAAAAGTTACTTTGAAACAACAGCTTGTTATTTAGAGAGAGGGCATTGCCCTTATGGCCTTTTATTTGTTGGCGGCCCGTTAAGAATGTCATAATAATATTCAGAGAATCCAATCGAACAAGTCGCGCGACATGTTTAAAGATAAATGGGGTTTTCTGTTGTTCCCGGGTGCGTAGACCGACAAATCAGCTAAAGTTAAACGTTCGTTTTCACTGCCCATTTGAACGTGTGGTTTTGGAGAATCTTTGATATTTAACGTGATAGTGTCACGTATATATTCTGAAAAGTGGAGATCTTATCACGACTATCTCGCAATGCTTGGAAGGACGTGTTGCACGCTCACTTGCCGTCACTCAATACACACAATGGTAGCAAGTGCAAACGTGGTATGTTCTCCGTTTCTATAATAGCATTGTAATGTGCATTTCGATATTTTGAGAAAAATTTACCAGAAGGAAGCAATTATTGTTTTTGCAAACTTGAATTGCATCAGTTACCTCATTAAACCATGTATCGTAGAACCTGCACCAGTTATTTTCATTCCAAGTATCGCAGACGTGAGAGACTAAGGGAAAGCGGGCTTGAATAGTGTTGTGAGACCACTGACTAAAGCAGTCATTATATCTGTGTTTTATTTCTTTTGTATGAATATTTTCATGACTGAAAGCAATTTTTATACGACCTTCAAATTCATTGACCTGTTCCTCATGTCTATACGACGTCTACACTGCAAAGTCGGTACGAGATAAAAGTGTAGCAACAACTGATAGAATGTGTTATGATGTAATATGGTGTCACGTGGTTTTATACACAGTGTTTCTAAGGCAAAATTCGCGTAGGAGGACCGATGTTGAGTGTTCGTTTGTGGTTAAATGATTAATAAGGTATTTGTATTTCGAGAAGGGAAAATAAATTGTTTACTTGATAAGTTTGTGTTTGGCGATGTGTAATTGTTGGGTAACACAATGCTGACTTGGTGATCCAAGATCAAGTTTTATGAAAGATCATTGGTCTAGAAATATACTCGGGACTTTTAGAGACAACAAAAAATCGGTCGAGAACAGTTAATCATGTACACGTTTTAACATGCTTTGGACGTTATCTGTGTAAGTTCTGTAGAGAATTGCTGGTTTCTGAACTTGGGTTACATGCAGCTCTGTAATATACATGTGGCACTTAAACATATGTTTTGTACGCATGTTGTTTTATATATTGCAGTTTCTTCTGTTTCTGTGTGTGTGTATATATATATATATACCTGGGTTTATTTCCCGTTTTCCTTAGTGCTAATGGCGTGTGCAAAATCCGAAAGAGATAGATGAATGAGGAGGCGTATAATTTTGTGTTATCTGCTATGATTCGTAGATCATGGAATTTCTAGTACAAATAAAGGTCGTATATTTCATCGAATGAAACCCTACTAATTTTTCCCTTCTGAAAAATACTAGTAATATTTGAGCCAGATTAAGACACCAGGAATGAACATATGAATGACGTCGGTACATTTCATGAAGCAACGAGTTTAACCAGCGTTATTTTAAGCTAATTCTATAAATTCTTTTTCGCCAATGCCGTTGTTAGATCAACGGACAAAATGCTAATGATTTCTCGATACATGTCTGTTTGTGAATTAGTTAGTAAGAATTTTGTTTACAATTGTTTGGATAAACCCAAACATGTTGTCACTCATAGACTTGGTGTTTGCGATCTTTGGATCAAGGTTGAAGGTATTCTTCAGTATGCAAGTGAATGATGTGTGACGTTTTTTTAGGAACCATTGACAATACCTGTGGTGACGTCTGACATTTACTTCTGTTCAGGTATGGGTCAACCAATGTTCACGAGGCTCTGTGTGAAGCGGTCAGACTGCGGCCGCCGACGTACGCCTTCCCTGTCCACTGCTTGGACACGTTACGCTCCGTTGGTCGGACCCCCCGCGAGGCGGTATTACGCGACTGTGTATCTCTCCGGCCTGGAACTCGAGTGGAGGAACTACATACAGTCCTGTGTCATTATCCGGTGAACCTGTTGTCTGGAGACTTTGTTAGGGCAGAGGTAAGACGCACAATCCTTCGCTTTTTTTTTCAGGGACATCGGGAGGGCAGATTTAAGTTATATATAATCATTTGTCTTTACTCGAATAATCTGCTTCCTGGAGAATTCAAGATGACACAGGTAAGACTCAAAATACCTTGATATGGTAGGCAACAGGCCCGTGTATTTCGCGCCAAGAAATGTCTACGCACAATCCTTTTCAGTACATCGCTTGCACTGAATAGGATTCTGAAGATGTACTGTCAATAGAAATTTTCTATAAATGTTGCAAGCAATAGTTGTCTATACTGAAGTAGTGCTGCTATCAGCGACAGGAGTCGTAAACTTTACAAAACTAATTCTGCCACCAGCGAAAGTTGTCGCAAACTTTACTAAACTAAATCTGCCACCGGCGACAGTAGTGGTAAACCTTACTACACAAGTGCAGCCACCAGCGACAGTTCTCGTAAACTTTACTAGACTAATGACGCAACCAGCAATAGCAGTCGTAAACTTGACTAAAATGATGATGCCACCAGAGCGTCAGAAGTCGCAAACCTTACTACACAAGACTGCCACCAACATCAGTCGTAAACTATACTGAACTAGTGCTGCCACAAGCCACACCAGCCGGTTTATTCCAACAAATGATGTCAGTAACGACACTCTTTTTATGTATTAGTACTTGTCCTAACTAATATGTCGCGATGGGTTGGTGTTCTGTATCAAATCCAAGTTATTTCAGTATTTCTGAAGATACGGAGGACTTGACTGTGAATATCACGTTTATTCACGTATCGAATCCGTCACTTTATGAGTGAACTAAAGGAACTTTTTATCTCTAAAATAGCTTTCGTGATACATGTCCAGGCCCCAGTTCGTCAGATGTTCCTTAACTTAAAGTGTACCCAGAGTGTAATTTTATATTTAGATATAATGTTAAGAATGCCGTAAAATGATAATAACGAAAACCCCGTCAAAATCCGTCGCCCCAGTGTCGAGTTATTAAAGCTGAAAGTTGTCGATTTTCACCTGTCCGCTCAGACCTAATCAGCGTGGTCGTCATTTCCGCGGAATCGAGGCTCAACATAGCTGACCTCTCAGGGTACACTTTAAGTTTGTCAGAAAGAATGAATTATTATAGGTATGGGAAAATGTTTTCTTTGTGGTGCAATCTAGTGAACAGCGATGAATTAATAAATGTTAATGAACAGACGGTTGAGAATTCTTGTTTTCTTTACAGACGATGACAGAAGACAGAAAACTGAAGCCACTGCGGAAGGACGACGTGATCACGACATCAAACAACATACTAAAGATAATGACAAATAAACGCACTTCCTAATCCACAGCTTTATTATAATCATTAATCTTAATTGATTTTGCTTATTAAAATAAACATCGAATAAACTAATTTTCCTTTATACAGTTAAACATGGTATACACTGAATGAACAGTATTTAAGATAGTTTTCGTTGAAGATGAAGAAAGCGACTCTTGTTTTTCGGTTACCATAAAGAAGCGTGTATAATCGGGAGTTATGCCAGAAATGTGTGTAAACACTCCACATCTTGGTGACTAACCTCCCGGAATCTCCTAGTTGACCAACCTTCCGGAATCTCCTGTACAAAACCTACACTGATGAGTTAACACTCCAGATCTTTGTGACTAACATATCGGAATCTCCCAAGTATTGGTATCACAGACGTCTAAGCTCTTCTCGATTTTCTCAACCTTTTACATTTGTCCACGATTTCACCTACAACAAAGCACGAGAACTTTTATGTTTAATAGTCACAAACATGGCCAATATCCCACTGCTTCAATGTTAATTTTGATGCATTTCATCATGAGACAGACATATTAATGAAACTTTATTGATCATAAATCTATCACTATGGTTTCTTCTTATTCGATCAGAACAATAACATTTTTCAAAAGAAATGACCGAGTTGAACTTGTGATTGAATATAAACCAATCGGTTAATGGCTGTCATCATGAGTACTTAAAGCTACATAGTATTGGAGGAAAACACTATATCAGAAACAGCAGGGACAATACCAACATGTCAACAGAATCTTAATTCAGACTCAAATGCGATGAAACTGCAACAAAATACGAATAAAAGAACAAATTATATGTGGATTGCTAAAACAATACAAGGGGTAAGCGTCTTCTGCTTCATTGACGACGCCCCCGCCGTGTAAACCTTGGACAATCAAAGTAGATAGCGTCAGGTTCCCGATCGAGTCCAAAGCAAATAACGGAACTACCAGTCACTCTTAAACAGCATCAAATACGTCCAAAATGTCGTTGTAGTGAGACGAAAATATCAAGTATTATCGTTCTCAGAAAAAATTATATAAGATTTTAGATATGAACGCTTATGGACACTCATTGGATTGGGCCAAACTGTAAGGACAATGTTGGAGGAGTCTTCTGGTCTAGGGGAACCGTGCTGTAATTAACAAGCTGATATTCAGGATTCTATTACAAACGCTTTATAAACATGTATTCTGTTACAAAACAGATGATGTCTGTAATTTGAGATGTGTGATCTACCTATTATATAATAAACTTACCCCTTTCCAAGCCCAGACAGGTGCCCCACTCCTTCAGTGAAATCTTACGGTCACTGTTGGCGTCACATTTGTTGAGGAAGGGTACCAGACATGGTTCCATAGGACGCAAGGAGGCGATGATCATCTGTAGTTCCTTACGGCTGACACGTCTGTGTGAGAAAATCAAACGCAATTCTTACGTACATTTTTTAAACATAATAGTACTGATAATATATCTTATAATTATTTATAATATATCCTTAATACAAAAACACTTATACTTTATCCTAAATACAAATCTACTGTCTCTCAAATACAGCAATTCCATACTGTATCCTAAATACAAAACTACTGTCTCTCAAATACAGCAATTCCATACTGTATCCTAAATACAAAACTACTGTCTCTTAAATACAGCAATTCCATACTGTATCCTAAATACAAAACTACTGTCTCTTAAATACAGCAATTCCATACTGTATCCTAAATACAAAACTACTGTCTCTTTAATACAGCAATTCCATACTGTATCCTTAATAAAATTCCTTGCTGTATCCTAAATACAATTCCTTACTGTATCCTAAATACAATTCCTTACTGTATCCTAAATACAATTCCTTACTGTATCCTTAATAAAATTCCTTGCTGTATTCTAAATACAATTCCTTACTGTATTCTAAATACAATTCCTTACTGTATTCTAAATACAATTCCTTGCTGTATTCTAAATACAATTCCTTGCTGTATTCTAAATACAATTCCTTGCTGTATCCTACATACAATTCCTTGCTGTATTCTAAATACAATTCCTTACTGTATCCTAAATACAATTCCTTACTGTATCCTTAATAAAATTCAATACAATTCCTTGCTGTATTCTAAATACAATTCCTTACTGTATCCTAAATAAATTCCTTACTGTATTCTAAATACAAAAATGTTACACTGTATCCTAAATACAAGAGTATCGACACTGTTTTATAGCTGTACAGAAGTATCGGATCTATGACGAATTCATCATAGGTGTAGGAGTCCCCGACAGGTAGTCCTAATGACTGAACTTTTCTGGTCCTTGAAGGCAGAGTCATTATATATCGGTATATATTTGTCTTGGTTATTTTTTCACCTGTCCTGGGGATGGACGTCCAGGTCACAAAACTTCCAGATGACGGCGTTGATACGTTGTTGTAGACTGTCGGTCAACAACTCCTCGTAAGGCCCGAGCTCTTTGCGGGAAGCCTGGAACAGAGAGAAGGATGGTGTCTTCATTCTCAACGAGTTACACGAGAAAACATGGTCTTTTGTATTAAATGTCTTGAAGGATACTTTAAGTCAATCACTCATGAATATATCACTATTTTTATGCCAATATCTTTATACATTTGACCATATTATAGGTAAGTTGTTAAAGTGATGAATTTATCACAAAAAAATTGGTTTAATTCCTACTGTCCTTGGCGACATGCTATCTATTACCAGGTAACTATTTATTTATACTTTCGTGTAGTGACGTGACGCGCCTCTCCTTACCACAACGTTCATAATAACGGCCAGCCAGCCCTCCATCCGCTCTGGAAACTGAGCCATTCCTACGTTATCACACCTGGCTAGGTCTGGAAAATAGAACGACTCTTATACCATACAGTAATATGTCCAAATATTGTATTTTGTTTTTTTTTTGGGGGGGAGGGTGAGGGGGGATTACGTGTAAGAAAGCAGACCAGTTCTTAAACCAGGGGAGTTATAGTTGCATTGTTTTAACAGAATCCCAGTAGCAAGAAGATATTTAACATACTCTGGCACTCTCCGAAGTAATTCAGCTTAAGCTTCTTGAAGGCGGGGTTGGAACATTCGGGCGACTTGGTTTTACACAGACAGACCTCACGATCTAAATGGCACTCGCTGTCAAAGGTCGTGTTTCTGGATCCGCAAACCTGCCAATAAAGCATTGTTAAATCTATCAGTATGTACACCAACATGTTGTAATGGTGACCACGAACCTAGTTCAAATTCTATACTAGTTCTTGTTCCGTATCCTATTTTAGACTAAACATGTGACGGAGATTGTTGAAAAGAAGACTTACTTTGTGACGGGGGTTGTCGACATGAAGACTGACTTTGTGACGAGGGTTGTCGACAAGAAGACTGACTTTAAGACAGAGGTTGCCGACAAGAAGACTTACTTTGTGACGGAGATTGTCGACAAGAAGACTTGCTTTGTAACGGAGGTTGTCGACAAGAAGACTTATTTGTGACAGAGGTTGTCGACAAGAAGACTTACTTTGTGACAGAGGTTGTCGACAAGAAGACTTACCTTGTGACAGGTTGCTGTAAAGAAGACTTACTTTGTGACAGGCTGCTGAAAAGTAGACTTACTTTGTGACGGGGGTTGTCGACATGAAGACTGACTTTGTGACGAGGGTTGTCGACAAGAAGACTGACTTTGTGACAGAGGTTGTCGACAACAAAACTTACTTTGTGACAGAGGTTTCTGACAAGAAGACTTACTTTGTGACAGAGGTTGCTGACAAGAAGACTTACTTTGTGACAGGTTGCTGTAAAGAAGACTTACTTTGTGACAGAGATTGTCGACAAGAAGACTTACCTTGTGACGGGGGTTGTAGACTTGGGGACACCTCGCAACGCACACACACTTGGCCTTTTCGTCCCGAAGCACACATTCCTCGCCCCTCTGACATTGCTTCTTGTTACACGGGTCTGCAACGAACGGAACTCGATATATTATAACTGTAGATAATTTTTTTAAATGAAGTGTCTATCTTTTACCTTTGTATATTGTATAAGTCGGACAAAACATTTCTAACTCATGTTTTTGTCATGAAATCTACTGATACCCCACCTCTGATCATGATCATGGACATGCAAACCAAAAACCTTCAAACTTTGATCCAAGACTTCTGGAAGGTAATAGTACACAGAGAACACTAAAATTACTGATATTCCTTAAGGGAGTGTACAACCCCTTTTTCTGTTAAATGAATCCCTGAACCACCCGAATACAGTTGTTACTAGGAATTACGACAGTGGACTCTGTTGACACCGTAGGAGAGCTATATTAACACGAACAGAGGACAAAGAATTAGCAATTGGAATATAATGTTGACATAATCAATAAGAAGAGACTGGATTATTCTGGTATGTGAATCAAAGGGAATAAATAGATTGGATGAATGAGACGGATATTAGAAAAAGGAATGACCGACCCTGGCAAGTGTGATATACAAGCTATGTATGAAATCAAAGATGACCGAAACTTGCAGGATTTAAGACGTCTGACGTTACATGTAGCAAGAAAGTGACGCTACCTGTACCGGTCAATTGGTTTCTGTTTGTACGATGGGAACAGTGTGACGTCCTCAATACCTTCCAGTTAATGTCTCAGATTATGTTAGTTACAATATAACACTCTCTATGACGGCCAGTTAATGTCCCTAATACGGAAGTAACAATATCGCACTCCATACTGGTTAGATAATGTCCAAAAGTCGACATTTACAATCGAAACACTGTAAACCGGCCAGTTATAGTCTTAAATACAGTAATAGCAATGACGCCCTCTCTATACCGCCCGGTTATAGTCCAAAAAAGAGTAGTATTAATGTTGCACTCTCTATTCCGGCCAGTTATAGTCTTAAATACAGTAGTAACAATGACGCCCTCTCTATACCGCCCAGTTGTAGTCCAAAAAAGAGTAGTATTAATGTTGCACTCTCTATTCCGACCAGTTATAGTCTTAAATACAGTAGTAACAATGACGCTCTCTCTATACCGCTCAGTTATAGTCTCAACTACTGTAGTAAAAATGTTGCACTATCTATACCGGCCAATTATAGTTCCAAATACAGAATTAACAATGTTGCACTATCTATACCGGCCAGTTATAGTTCCAGATACAGAATTAACAATGTCGCACCCTTTATACTCCCTACTTAATGTTCAAATAACGGTCTCTATTGCACTCTTTCTACCGACAAAGATTTTCGTGTTCTCTATACCGTCCATTTAACGTCTAAAAACCATAACAACAATGTAATAACTGTCTTTACGGACTAGTGAATATTTTCAAATACGGTAGTAACAATATGATGTTCTCTATATTTACCTGGTTATATAACAAATACGGTATAAAAACTATGGAACTCCATATGCCAGCTAATCAATATCCCAAATATGGTATGAACAATGTAGCACTCTCTGTGCCGGCCAGGTAATATCCGAAATACGGTAGAAACAATGTTTTGTCTTAAATACGGTAGTTAAAAGGTTTCACTCTCTACTGGCCAGTTAATGTCCCAAAAACGGTAATAATAATACAGTGCTGTCTCTTTTGCACTCTTTATACCGGCAAGATTATTTTTTAAATAAACTTGAAACAGTGTCGCGCTCTCTATACATATCAGGTAGTAATGTATATCTCAACGATAGTTACAGCGGCAAGTTAACGTCCCAAATAGGTTGTAATTTCCTAAATACAGTAGTATAGATTTTCGTGCTCTTTTTATTAGCCTGTCATTGTCTCAGAAACAATTTGACACCCTCTATACCGGTCAGGATATCTCCGAGATAAGGTAGAAACATCTCGCGCTCTCTATACTGGCCGTTTATTGTCACAACTACAGTTATAACGAAATTTTATTCTTTATACAGGCCAATTTGTGTCCCAAATACGGTAGTAACAATAAAACATTCTCTATACTGACCAGTTAACGTGTCATAAATAGGGTATTAACAATGTGACCCTCTATGTACCGGTCTGTATCCCTTTACTCACTCTCTCTCGCTACGGGCTCGGTCGTATCGTCAGATTCATCGTCGAGAGCGACTTCATCATCATCGTCGTCTTCATCCGCAGCAAGGCCCTGAAGAAATAATTTGGTAATTACGTTTACACTGAATAAATTCGTATGAACATTTTACAAAACTTTGATGACCTGCTCAGCGAGAAGGCTTCGACGTTAATGATGTTGTGTTACTAGGGATTACGTAATATTCTGATGGACATCTAAATCACTTGTTCGTCTCAGGTTCATCTACAGTTGTATACAAACCCCGCTGTTACGGAGGCGTATGACCCTCGACTTTTCCTGACGTAAGTTTGTTATAAAGCAGACTATGCCAAGATGAGATACTTAACATTCCAAAACACTTTGATTGGTGTCTAGTATGTGAACTATTTGTATATTAGTCTATAGATTTCGACCAATCAAGATAGTCTAGAATGATTTTGCGGAAAAGGAGTAGACAGCATTATGCATAGAAGTAGTTGGGTTTCCTTAATTACTTGAACCGCTATGTATACAGGGTGAAGAGGTGTACACAATTACCTGTTCCGGTAAACATAGAAATCTGTGGGTTATACACAATATTACCATGAAGTATACAGAGGTTAACTACATGTGCAAAATTATCTGACCCAGTATATAGAGATATTGGTGGGGTATACACAATTATCTGACCCAGTTTATAGAGATATTGGTGGGGTATACACAATTATCTGACCCAGTATATAGAGATATTGGTGGGGTATACACAATTATCTGACCCAGTTTATAGAGATATTGGTGGGGTATACACAATTATCTGACCCAGTATATAGAGATATTGGTGGGGTATACAGTTACCTGTTCCGCTTTATACAGAGATTGGTGAAGTGTGCACAATTATCTGTTCCGGTATACACAGAGATTGGTGACTTGTACAGAATTACATGTTTCGGTATATACAGAGATAAGTAACGTGTACACAACGAACTGTTTCGGTTGTACAGAGATTGGTGGGGTGTGTACAATTACCTGTACCGGTATATACAGAGATGGGTGGGGTGTACACAATTACCTGTACCGGTATATACAGAGATGGGTGGGGTGTACACAATTACCTGTACCGGTATATACAGAGATGGGTGGGGTGTACACAATTACCTGTACCGGTATGTACAGAGATTGGTGAGGTGTATACAATTACCTGTACCGGTATATACAGAGATTGGTGAGGTGTATACAATTATCTGTTCCGGTATATACAGAGATTGGTGAGGTGTACACAATTACCTGATCCGGTATATACAGAGATGGATGGGGTGTACACAACGAACTGTTTCGGTTGTACAGAGATTGGTGGGGTGTACACAATTGTACCTGTTCCGGTATATATTCTGGTATATCCTCTGTTTTGGAGATATTTTATATAAAGATTGACTGTTTCCTTACCTGTTCAGGTATATCCTGTATCGAGGAAGCGCTATGCGTCTGTTCGTCCGCCTGTAAAATATGTGTTATTGTTTAGGTAAACACTAACATTACAGTGGTTTTATTGTGTATAATACTTGCTTCGGATACTTATACTTAAATATTGAATCTTGCTTTTGTCGAGTTCATGGGTTGATGAATTGAGTTGCTCTTTAGACAAATTTAAATAACTGCGTCGTGTCGAATTTGTCTCAAGAGCAACTTAATTCATTATCCCATGAAATCGACAAAAACAAGAATCAATGCTTATATTTCACTGAAGACGGTTTATTTTCAATATTTCCAATACACCCAAGTCTGTAAATACTTAAACATGCACAAGTCTGATGGATTGCGTTAAAAATATAGTTTATATCCTTCAGAAATTATGAAAACACTCCGATAGGTACGCGGAATAATAATGTCTATTCTACGATCGTCTCCCGCTCCGCATCGAACTGGACGGCAGCCATTTCTAAATTGGCATAGAGTGTTATTTTAGACCTTTCTCAGTAGCCTTTGTATCAATGGCGTCAAGAGTTTGTCAAGAAGCAGTTCTGTATCAAAATCGCTCAGTGGACGTTCATAGCTGTGTTGAGGATTTTCATTTTTAGTCAAGGTTGAAAAAAAAAGTAGCAGACGACAACTCTTGCAATGTCTCAAACAGATGTCAAATGGAAAACCATTCTATTCGGCTAAAAATTACCATAATGTCATATTTTATATTTATATTCTCCCCTCTTACAGAATCTGTTAAGGATATATTCACACGTCCAGGTCAATGCTGATCTGGTCAAATCCACGGACTAATGAAACTGGCTAGATTTGGTGGTTTCATTGGGTCCAATCTGAGTTGAAATTGAAATAGGAATATAATTTGTGAATCTGCTGATGCTACTGCAGACATTATCAGGACACGTTATATAATTTCTCCATGAAGAAAAGATAATACAAAGTGTGTATTTGATTACAGCCGACCAGACAACGGAAAGTCTGGCATGTTATTTTCATCGTCTACTAAAACAGTAGGCAACAACGTGGTTATTCTACCTTTTCCATTAGATAGAAATGTATAGTAGATAAAATGTACTTCTCAAAGTTTTCGAAATAATTTCGGATTTGTGGTGACTTATCAAATTGATCTGAAGTTGAAAATTTTTGAGTTTACAAAACAAAGAAAACGATAATACCACTTTATAATTAACAAGTGAACACAATAATAAATGATAACACATCATGGGGATCGTAGAAATGTTATTATGATCCTTACACATACAGTGAAAAATAATCAACATTTAGCAAAACTAGAGAGAGGTCATCACAATTATACTTAGTCTGTACACCGAAAGTCTCACTTCGAGAGAGAAGTAATTCTGAATTAGTCAGCTCAGACACATTATCAAGAACCAAAATGAGCGAATGACTTTGTTCTTGCCGAGACCTAGAGTGAGTAAATGTCTCTGTATTTGCCGAGACCTAGAGTGAGCAAATGTCTCTATACTCGCCAAGACTCAGTGTAATTAAATGTCTCTATACTCGCCAAGACTCAGTGTAATTAAATGTCGCTGTACTCGCCAAGACTCAGTGTAATTAAATGTCTCTGTATTTGCCAAGACTCAAAGTGAGCAAAATAGTCTGTTCATTAAAATTGCCAAGACCCAAAGTGAGCAAATGAGTCTTTACTTTGTACTTGCCAAGACCTAGAGTGAACAAATGTCTCTGTACTTTGTACTTGCCAAGACTCAGAGAAATCAAATGATTCTGTACTTTGTACTTGCCAAGACCCAGAGTGAGCAAATGAGTCTTTACTTTGTACTTGCCAATACCTAGAGTGAACAAATGTCTCTGTACTTTGTACTTGCCAAGACTCAAAGAGATCAAATGATTCTGTACTTTGTACTTGCCAAGACCTAGGGTGAGCAAATTACTTTATTTGCCAAGACACAGTGTAAGCAAATGACTCTGTATTTTGTATTTGCCAAGACCTAGGCTGAGCAAATGAGTCTTAAGTTCATAACAAAGAACATGTATGTTTATAGACATCTTTAGCGTGTGCTCGCGGTTTCTACAAGATCGATACCATTTAATTTGCTCTAAAAGAACTGCATTGGTGAATTTTTTTGTTTTTATTTGTAATTGACTTACACAAGTGCTGCTGTAGTTGAAATGCTTTCGTTACAATATATATCAGCTAAACTCCAGATTTTGTAGCAAAATTAATGGTTTACAGATCCGGCTGAGGTATCATACATACAAGATTATTTGCTGACCATGCAGATTGTGTTCGGCCACTTAGCGTATACAGCATTAACAGTTTGGCTTATATCCACGTGCAAACGCGGTGCCATAGTGAAAACGGTCTGTCCAGAAAGATCGGAGATTGGCGTTATCATTAGCGAGTTGATGTGAACAACGTCCAGCTGACAGTGATATTTAAACAAAGACTAGACCTATCAAATGCCATGGGTATGTGTTTACTCAAGAGTACATAGTATTTGAATTTAGACGTGGATTTATTTACATACATGCTCTTTACATGTACATCGGTAGCACGCGCGTATAACGGTAGCCTAATTACAATCACGGCGCAGAAATGTTTTTCGTTAATGGACACGTCCACACTATAGCTAGAACCTGCACTGGTCACTTGCTCGTGTTTATCAACGCTGTCTGAACAGGGGGTATAATCTGACTGAATAATAGACAGAAACAGCTTTCTTCGCACAAGAAAAATCCAATCGCGTCCATTAAAAGTTCTCGCGAAATTCGTGGCATTTCTTCGATTCACGTAAAATCGTTAGTTTTTAAAAATGTACTGCTGTACATTACCACTGTGTGCCTGAATAATGCGTGCATTGCCGCCTCATTGACACAGAACAGGCCATGATTAATGTGACGTGTAGTAACGTAGACAAGACAAGCACTTCCGTTTTAATTTATGCATATGTTTTTTTCAGATTTTCTTTCGCCGGAAGTAATATTTAGCGCGTGATGTAAGAGAGAAGTACTTCCCACAGTGCCTTCACTTTTTAAGACGGTCATACGACCATTAATTTCACGGAAAGTTACGCTTTTGTCAAATAAGACAGTATTGTTTCCATATTTTAAACAGCGATGTACACTTAACATTTGGTATGGAACACAATCCAGGCACGTCACCTCCATGACTAACGCGAGGAAGTGCGATTGACTGTACGCTGTTTTCACAGGAAATAGCTATTACAGAACAAGGTTGTTACTCACGGTCCAAGTTTCAAGGAATGAAGTATAAGCATAAAGAAGGTACTGATTGAATAGGACATACCACACGTTGTGATGTATGGTTTTACTCACACTCAAGATCACAAATTAATTTTACATTGAATTTTGTATATCCCGTCCTCATTTATTTAGCCGAAACAAGAACAATCAGAAAAAGAATTCAAACACTCTTTAGAGAATCAAAATGTTTATCTTGTATTTCTAATTCCATCCAGACGATGGAATGTGTTGAATAAATATTTATAGGTTCATTCATCAATGAAAGCGACTTTGTCTGACAGCGCGGCCGACCGTTAAACGTGAACCAGACGGGTACCTAATATCGAAAAAGTTGGCCTGGATTAACTGTGCTGACTGGTTTCAGTAGCGAGAATTGGTTTGGTAATTGTTATTACTAACAAAACAGTTATTATTTAACCGTAAAACATTTCCAAAACGGAGTTTGGTTATATGTTTGATTCAACACTTATCCACTGAGAGAAATGTTTCAGAAGTAGCCTCCCATACAATGCCAGGTTACGTACGAGAATTCGCGAGAGGACAGTTTAGCATCGACATAGGTTTACGTTCTTATTTATCAAATTTAACTAAAGAGCACTTTTTTCATCCTGATCCTCGCCGGATTGTGATTCAGTTGTTTCTGCATCTTTTATGTTTTTTCACCATTCTTTGTCTGAACGTCATTTCTGGTAACTGTCGGTAGTTGTAGAGGAGCAGAGAAAGAGAGCGGGTTGGCATATTATAATCGTGTAAAACACTTGATAGTTGATGTATATTTATGTAGTTTCAAAATTCAAAGATAATCTCGAGAATCCGAAGTCATTCCGTATGACTCAAACCAGTCACATTTCCTTGATGACGTGGATGGCTGCGGTACCAGACAATGTAATAGTCGACTAGTACTGCACATTTATGTTGCACGGATTCAGCGTCATTGAGTGTTTAGACTGTATGTGTTTATTTGATCAGTATTAAACACCCTCGCAAAAAAAAACTCTGGTCAAACTTTACGTAGACATTGTATCTGTCATATGTCGTACTAAAATATACATTGCTTGTAACGCAGTGGTCTTTTTTCCCCAAATATATCGTTTCAAAATTTTCAAATTTTAGTGTTAAATACTGAAATTGTTTTTTGAAATGATCCTACGATTATTTTCTATACTATAATGTACAATACGGACCATTATCCTACCCGTGGTACTCGAGAAGCTGAGAAAAGGACCGGTCTGTGCTGTCGTGGTGGTGTCCTTAGTCAAGACACACACCCATCGCAATGGATAACACGGGCCTCCAGTATGTTTTTCTTGAAATGACCCTGCGTGGTGATTAAACCAACAAACTATCCAATCGTCTTACTGTTATTTTAAATCAGGTGACATGTGGCTAAACCCGAACAGTCTTAGAAGACCATAACATTTATAAAAAATGATATTTAGCAAGAAGTGGAGAAGTTTAGATTTAGTATTTACAATCTATTGTACATTGTTGTCTCGTTGTTTTACTAGCCGTATAAGTAACTGACCTAGATTCAAATAAACATGAAATACTTTACCTTGATTAGGGCGCATGTCGCCAGCAGGAGAAGAACCAATGTCGAGAGTGTCTTCATGGCACGTTCTTCAACACACAAGATCATGTGATATTTAAAATTTAAATTAAAAATTTATATGACAAAATTTTTAAATGACAAAGTTATCATGGTTTTGGTGTGCGTTTTTTCAGACATGATAAAATGCAATCTGATTAAATATACTCTGTCTCTCTGTCGTTGTCTCTCTGTCTCTCTCCTCTCTCCCCTTCTCTCTCTCTGTCTCTCTCTCTCCTCTCTCCCCCTCTTTCTCTGTCTCTCCCTCTTTTTCTCTGTCTCTCTCTGTCTCTCTGAACACTGTGTATGTAAGCTGTGTTGGAAAATTGTTTGAATAAAACACATTTTGTGACTGTTGGATGCTCGCCTTGGGTTCAGATCTTCATACAGTGTTAGTATGTCATTATGCATGCTTCACACTAAAACATGTCCTGGCGAAGCCGTTGCGAGATGAGCCATTTTATCAGTTTCAGTCTAACGTCGTTTACCAAAGAGATAACCGAATTTCCCAATAGTTTGAAGAGTGATATGATTTTTTTTATAAATGACGTGACATAATCGGTTCTCCTAGCAGAATCCTATTTTCTGGATGAGCTCCATGTCTGGTGTAACCCGTGGTAACCTATGATTCAACCTCGGTAGAGAAAACAAGATGTCGTCCTTAATTAGGTCCGACACCGGCCTCCACGTGGCCATTCAGTAGAAACGCGATCTATCTGTCTGGCAAACATCACATAATATATTCTACCACTTTCATTACTCTGAATTAATAGGCAGGATAATATTGTACATCTTTTACACTTGTAGATATTAGCGAGGTTTATAAACAAAGTAAATGATTATCAGTCAGTAGTTACTTTTTGTATATTAGTTCGTTAGTCTGTGTGAAGCTGATCGTTTTGTTTGGCGCGATTTCCTATCACATTTGCCAGAACCACAGAGACGGAGTAGGTATTTAATTGCTGTAGGTGTTTCACATGATGGACCTTGACAGCTGTCCGCCTCTATATTGTAGATCTCGGTACGTACCACGTTCATCTCCTCAGTCATGCTCAACCCCACCTTGAAGTCCTTCCTACACCTCCTGAACTCGCGTTTTTGTCGTGACGTTTACAACCATGAGACAGTGTGTAACGTTTGTACGAATTACCAACTCGACACAAAACCTGCTACCAATTTACGTAAAATGGACATGTTGATGATGTGTGATTGCAAACATCATCTATAACTATATATAAACCTGATTTACAAAATATCGTGCTGTGCCATGGTAACAGAAGCGATAAAACAAACTACAAATAGAATCCACATTTTAACATTTTCATTTTTTTTCATTTCATATTGTTGTCTTATTATTATACTGTAAAAGGTCGGCATTGTATCAAAATTACGATTCCATGTAAAGGGTAATAGTTAGATCACCGAACTGCTTCTTAATTGACCATCTTGCATTGGGAAATTCAATAAGGAAGTGCCTTATCAGGATGTGAATGGGTAAACGAAACTAAAGCCAAGAAACAGCCGGGAGAAAACACCAGTACACCAAGTTACAGAGTCCATGGGCCACCCTGGGATAGACGGATCATTTACCAGCATAATTATTAGTCTTTGAATAATTATTTTGTATCTAAATTATTACTGACACAATGATAAATTATTATAACCTGGGTTATTGAGAAATAAGTCAATAGATTGTTTTTGATATTGATATTGAGACAAGTTATGACCGAGAAACCAAATAAAACTGGTCCTAATAACCCCTAAATATCTGTAATATGTACTTTACTCCTGGAGATCTAAGCCTTAGTAGTAGGTTTACGACAAACGACTGTGGGATTTTATGTAGTATTTGTCTACGACTAATTGATAGTAAATGTATCATTGAACGATTATATCAGACAGGGAATACTTCAGTAATCGTTATCCACCTGTTCAAATGTTTAGAGTCATGTTTGGTGTCAATATGTCCATAACCCGATTAAAAAGGCGTTAGTATCGCGGTGACTAAACTCCACCTTTCCAGAGTCATATTCAGCAAGTCTTAGTATCACGGTAACTCAACTCTATCTCTCTAGAGTCACATATTCAGCAAGCCTTAGTATCACGGTACCTATGACTCAACTTTACCTTTCTAGAGTCACATATTCAGCTAGTCTTGGTATAACAATATCTGTGACTCAACTCCACCTTTCTAGATTCAAATATTCATCAAGTCATATCTGACTTAAGTCCACATTTCTAGATTCAACAAGTTTTAGTATCACGATATTTGTGACTCACCCAACCTTTTTAAAGTCATCAAGTCTTAGTATTACAATATATGGGACTCACCTCCGCTTTTCTGGAGTCAAGTTATCTACATGTAACTCAGTTTCACCTGTTCTGAAGAGTTTGAATGGTTTGATGTTATGTGTCCTTACTTAAATCATTACATTATTTATAGTTTGTATACATATGTAATGATTGGTATTTAGTTTGATGGCGGGAGCCAGTGGGAATTGGAATACTGCCACTGTAGACAGCAGATGGTGACTGAATAGGAACAAGTTGAGGATAGAAATTACTTCGTCCACGGTAATGTCGATTGACCAGTCCTATGCCAGTAAACCCTTTTTAAGCCGTGTACGGACACAACATATCGTTGGGTACTTGTATGCACCTTAGTCCAATATATCAATCTGTACGTCGGTATGTAGACTTAGAGATGGCCGACAGCTATCATATCTGATCTAATTCATAACCCCTCCCTTCCCCTCATATAACAAAGAAAACGGTCAAAAAGTCACGGGTTACTTACAATGTACCTATAAACCTTCCCCATCTATAGTGTTTACATAATTAAAATGTTTATTACTTTCGAAATTGAATCTGAAGTACGAAATACTGAAACAAAATGTATAACATTTTTTTTAAATGTTTTAAAAAGATGGAAAAAGTTCTTATTGAAATTGAAATTGTTTTATAATTCTGTCTGATGAAGATCGTGTTTCGTGTCATTTTAGTGTATTGTCTTACCATAATTTATAATCATCACTGTTACCTGGATTATTTTGTGCGTAAAACTTTTTTCCAGTAGGGATAGTTCTTACCTCTATTTTCAAAATATGTATATATATAACAATGGAAAAAACTTACCTCAAATGAGATCCAAATGGGAATACCGCTGAAAAAAAATCACTACACTTCAGACAAGTTGACCGCAGAACACAATACGGAAATACTTCCGCTAAACATATAAACCCTCCAGTGGCGAGAAGAGACCTGACTCACGACCGCCCTAAGCCCACTACTTGTGCCACCAGTACACGCTGCAGAGTGCGTTGGTAATATGAGATCAGACAAGCCCGCACGAAATGCACGCGAGCGAGCCTAGTTATGATTTCTTCATGGTAATGTTCACATACAAATCGTTCCCGTAATTATAATTTAATACCTGTCTTGATGATGGTAAATTGATTTCGATCCAGTAGCAACCCTGCCAAATGCACGATTGAGGTCAAACGATGGCGGAGACAGTGTTGATATTACTCCCAACAAAAAGAATGAGAAATAAAAACGTCAATTATGATTAAGCATGCAGATATCCTGATATTCTTTTCTGATTCTTTCCAAAATAAATGCATGTACATTGTTTCTCGTATCAACAAGGCATTATTATTGTACCGTGTAATTAATAATTAATTCTACGCCATACACATTTGATATCGTCATAAGTCACATATTTGGGTACAGATAGTTTGTGTCATATAACAGCACCTGACTACGTCACACATCAGCGAATCTTATTATGTTACATATAAGGATACAGAACTACATGTACGTCACACATAAGGTTACCATACAAAATCGCACATCATGATACTGTACTACGTCATACATCAGGCTACCATACTACGTCACATATCAGGCTACCATACTACGTCACACATCAGGCTACCATACTACGTCACACATAAGGTTACCATACTACGTCACACATAAGGTTACCATACAAAGTAACACATCATGATACTGTACTACGTCACACATCAGGTTACCTTACTACGTCACACATCAGGCTACCATACTACGTCACACATCAAGGTACCGTACAACGTCACACATTCGTGTGCCATATTAGTATAACGCCGATTGCAGGTAACTTACTACATCATGTTACCCTTTTTCATCACAAAACAGCATACAGTACTACGTTACACATAAGTTTACCTCACTACGTCTCGCATCAGAGTATCCTACTAGTATGGTCATTGATGTGTGACACTAACACATCAGTGCGGTACCTCACGCATCAGGTAACTTACTACATCATACATGTGTGTGTGCTACGTCACACATAAGTTTACCTTACTACGTCTCACATCAGGGTACCATACTACGTCACACATAAGGTTACATTGATGTGTGACACACAGGGTACTACGTCACACATCAAGTTAACTTACTACGTCACACATCAGGATACCATACTACGTCACACATCAGGTGACCTTACTAGGGTCAGCCTGATGTTACCATACTACGTCACACAGGTAGGGTGGTACCATCATGTTACTACGTCACACATCAGGTGTGACTTACTTCGTCACACATCAGGTTACCATACTACGTACACATCAGGTGTACCATACTACGTCACACATCAGGTACCATACTACGTCACACATCAGGTTACCTACTACGTCACACATGTGTCACACATCAGGTACTAAGTCACACATCAGTATACCATACTACGTCACACATCAGGTTACCTTACTACGTCACACATCAGGTCAAGATACCACCTCCTTACTGGTGACCATACTACGTCACACATCAGGTTACCATACTACGTCAAACACCAGGTACCCTACGTACTTCGTCACACTCCAGGTAACCATACTACGTCACACATCAAGTTATCTTACTTCGTCACACATCAGGTTACATACACACATACTACGTCACACATCAGGCTACCTTACTACGTCACACATCAGGGTACCATACTACGTCACACATAAGGTTTACCGTACTACGTCACACATACTTCGTCACACATCAGGTTACCTTACTACGTCACACATCAGGGTACCTTACTACGTCACACATCAAGTTACCTTACTTCTTCACACATCAGGTTACCATACTACGTCACACATCAGGTTACCATACTACGTCACACATAAGGTTACCATACTACGTCACACATCAGGTTACCATACTACGTCACACATCAGGTTACCATACTTCGCCACACATCAGGCTACCATACTACGTCACACATCAGGTTACCATACTACGTCACACATCAGGTTACAATACTACGTCACACATCAGATTACCAAATAAAGTCACACATCATGATATTGTACTACGTCACACATCAGGGTACCATACTACGTCACACATCAAGTAACCTTACTTCGTCACACACCAGGTTACCATACTACGTCACACATCAAGTTATCTTACTTCGTCACACATCAAGTAACCTTACTTAGTCACACATCAGGTTACCTTACTTAGTCACACATCATGTTACCATACTACGTCACACATCAGGTTACCATACTACGTCACACATCATGTTACCATACTTCGTCACATATCAGGTTACCATACTACGTCACGCATCATGTTACCATACTAAGTCACACATAAGGGTACCTTACTACGTCACACATCAGGTTACCATACTTCGTCACAAATCAGGTTACCTTACTACGTCACACATCAGGGTACCTTACTACACATCAGTCACACATCACACATCAGTTACCATACTACGTCACACATCACATCATCAGGTTACCATCATTACCATACTACGTCACACATCAGGTTACCTACTACACACATCAGGGTTACTTCGTCACACATCAGGTTACCATACTACGTCACACATCAGGCTACCATACTAAGTCACACATCAGGGTACCATACTTCGTCACACATCAGGTTACCATACTACGTCACACATCATGTTACCATACTACGTCACACATCAGGGTACCATACTTCGTCACTCATCAGGTTACCTTACTACGTCACACATCAGGGTACCTTACTACGTCACACATCAGGTTACCTTACTACGTCACACATCAAGTTATCTTACTTCGTCACACATCAGGTTACCATACTACGTCACACATCAAGTTATCTTACTTCGTCACACATCAGGTTACCATACTACGTCACACATCAGGTTACCATACTACGTCACACATCAGGTTACCATACTACGTCACACATCATGTTACCATACTTCGTCACACATCAGGTTACCATACTACGTCACACATCAGGGTACCTTACTACGTCACACATCAGGCTACCATACTACGTCACACATCAAGTTATCTTACTTCGTCACACATCAAGTAACCTTACTTCGTCACACATCAGGTTACCATACTACGTCACACATCAGGTTACCATACTTCGTCACACATCAGGACACTCTACAACGTCACACATCTGGATTCGGTACTACGTTACACATTATGGTTACGTACTTCGTCACATTCCAGGACAATACACATCACACATACTACACATGTACGTACACATTACGTCCCGTACCACGTCACACATCAGAATATCGTACGTCACACATCAGGTTAGTGTACTACGTCACACATCGGAATATCGTACGTCACACATCAGGTTTGTGTACTACATCACACGTCAGTTCCTTAAGTACGTCACATATTATGAATAGAGTACCATACTTCACACTTACCTTTATACGTCACACGCCAGGGGAATGTAACCGAACGATTTGTCGGTGGAATTGTAACCCCTTTCATTTCAAGCCTCGTTTTCCATATGATTTACTGGGAAATTTCTTGATGAAGATTACAGAATTATGTTCATCAATCCGTGCTTGTTTTATCTGACAACAACAATGGGCTACCATTAGAGACCAAGAATACAATTAGGTGTTGTGGGTTTATATTCTATATAAACATTGCAATACATGCCCCTTGCAATATTTCTACAAATATGATTCTAGGTTCAACAAGTCCCTCAGATCAACTTATCAGCACACAGCTTAGTTCAATGACATTTTCATTAAAACTACGACAGCACTGAAAAACTAAATTATAAAAGTACTTCATAACTACGACAGCACTGAATTACTGAATTATAATAAGTAGTGGTGCTTTACATCATAGCGCCACTCAGCAGTCCACTAAAGTCACAGTCGTGGGTGTGATTTATAAGGAGGATAATCTCAAAGTTACAACATTAATGTACGTTTTATCATATTTTGACTTCGCGTCGTCTCATTAAAACTAATTAACTCCTCGTCACTTCATATCCCGATGAAGGAAGTGGGTCGCGTGCTTTTGTTTTGGCGAAAAGATACGACTTGTATCGTTTTAGAGTATCGCTGCACTTGTACGACCCCGAATTTGCTCAGCTGAAATGACCGCCAACTTGTGTTTACGGAAACGTGTCTGCACTTCCGTTTTCATTAGTATCACCGAATCACAGGGACGATAACTGAGGGTTTTAGATAGGTAATGGGGAGGTACAAGGCCTTTCTGGTGAAAGGTAATTTCTGAAATCGTCGGAAACTGTAGATAAACTATCATGCTGTTTCACAATATCCCCAACTCCGTTTACTGAGAGAGCGTTGCATTATAAAAGACAACAAACAGCTGTCAAAAGACATCTTAAATACAAGTATAACCTTCTCCAAAGTGAGAAAGTTAAGTCAGTAATCAATGGCGATGTCGATAAATCATAAAAAACAGAAACGTCTGGAGTAACTAAAAGAAATAGGAACGGCAAAAAAATTTAGCCAACCCGCTCTAAAATAAGGAACATCTTTAAGTGCGGTACAATGTTGCTTAAACCAGTTATAGGAAGGTATATGTGTGCTCAAATTTGAGTAGTGTCACTGTAAATGTCGCATAAAAATGCAGTAAAAACTTTAGATTTTCTAAAGCTTGGACTGTACACAGCAAATTACCAACAAAAACGAGCTGGTGGTTTTGGAGGAGGTAGTTTTACTAGTACTTGAGTGTCAGGATGTTAGACATTGTGATATTGCTGACAAGAAATGTGTTGCTGTTCCAGAGGTTGATTACAAGGATACTGTAACACAGGGCTATGGACTATTTTGTTTATCCCAAAATCTGTTTTTGCAAATAAATATCTGTATTATAAGTCTCTAGAATCTGTGCACGAATATTTCTTTTCTAAATAATTCTTCTACTCTTCTTCTTTTTAGGATGTTAATACATATCCTGTCTGATTTCATTGTGTATCTTCATGCCATCACTTTCTCAAAACTTTTCCCGAGACTCCAACTGTTC